GACTTGGACCTGTGATTATTTAAAAGCAAAATGAAAACCAGAATGACATTCCAGATTTGAAAGCCATTTCAACATTTTATAACAGACCCAATTCATCTCACTCTTGTCTTTTGTCTGCTCCCCACCCATAGATTATTTTTAAAAAATTGGACAGAATCAAGTAAATTCCCAGAGAACAGAAGAATTCAATCCAATATAACATTCTTCCTCCTTCCTGAGTTTTAAATAGAGAAAAGCACAGAAAAGAGCCAATACACATGAGTCCATATTTTCTTTTTTTTTTTAAATGTTATAGAAAACATCAGTCCTTTCCCCCCCTTCATTACAGTTCCATCCCCCATCACTATCGTGCATTTATCCTCCCAGCCCATGTTTTGTAAAAATAATTAGCTCTCTATATGGGGCAAGGCAGACACAAAAGAAAAAATTTATCTATTCAAAAAATTGTGTATTTATTCTTGCATGTTTAGAATTCAGTCACCTCCATTTGATGCAATACATCTATCAAGACATTTTTTTCCACTGCTCAAAACAGTTTTTGAACTTGTCAATTTTGATGCCTTTTAGTGCTTCTGCAACTTTTTGTTTCACCTCTTCCAAAACAGCAAAATGTTTCCTTCGGAGGACTTTCTTCATCCGGGGAAACAAAAAAAGGCTCTTGGAGCAAGATCAGGTGAACAGGGAGGGTGGGGCATGGGGGTCATGCCGTTTTGGTCAAAAGCAGCTGAACACTCAGCACAGCGTGAGCAGGTGCACTTGTAAATTGCCCATAATGAAATGGGCAAGCGTGTTGGGTCTTCAAAAAAAATTCACTAAAGCCAAATGCAGCCTCTCACAACAATGCCAGCTGGTTCAGTGATGCAGATGGGTTCCTAAAACACTCACCTAGTGGGGGGAAATCTGTACTACAAGAGGCCCGCCCTCCAGAAGATACTTCTGTTTTTACAGGGGGTCCCCCCCTCATGTATGCATTCATCAAAAATATTCTGTGTGTTTTAATAATATATCATTCTACAACTTGTTTTTATTGGGATTCATGTGTAGATATATAATCTTAGCCTATTATTTAACTGCTGAGTTCTATTATATGAAGACATTACAATTTTTTGGTCCATTTTCTTACTGTAAGAATTTTCCCATTATATTTTCCCTATTAAAAACAATACAGGGCAAGTACTTTTGTGATAAGTAAGAACTTTAAGAAATTGTTCTTCCATAAGAGCAGTGAGAACACTGACAAAATTGTCAAAATCAGCTCTTCATAACTTGGGGAATTAACCAAAGGCTTGCAATCATCTAAGGAACATTTGTTTTTTTTTAATGCCTAAACAACAACAGTAGCTATGAAAATCAGCAGCCTAGCCACTGCTGGAGAACACAGACAGATTTACAGCTTCACCCAAGCCCTCCGGGGAACTATCACTATTTCAGTTATTTGTTATCTCCCTGAAAAAACTACCATCCACAGGACTTGTTCGTCTGACACAGAGACCTTCCAGGGCAAACAGGCCGATTCCCAGAGCATTTGTTGTCACAAATAGCAACCAGTGCCAATTGTTTAATATGACAGCTGCCTGAGGTGCAGAGACCAGTTGGGGCAAATTAAGCAGCTGACCAAAAAACTTAAAAGGAAAACTTGGGGAATAAAATGCCCACAGTGGGCTTCAAAAACTTGGACATATTTCTGGCAATCTAGAAGTCACACATATGTGCTTGTCTCCGACATGGCAAGGAAAGACCCGAGAAGGTCCTACCCTCTCACCTCCGGGCAGGCATGAGGTTCTTTGCAACTAGGAGGCAAGGGCTAAGGCAGCGTTATGAACTGCTGGAAGTGTGGACAGCATTCCATAACAACACACCCAGAGCCCCTTGGCAAAGTTTGGAAGGCTTCCTGCTTCAAGGCCTGTGTGGAAAGCTACCGTATCAGTAGCTAACTGAGCAGAAAATTCAGTTGCCACGTGTGGCAAAGGATATAAACTTCACAAAATTAGTCCAGGAAAGTTACTACATTCAAAAAACAAAACGGACAACAACAATGAGCATAACATCAAACTCTGAGTAGGGGGTAATACAATTTCCAAAGCTGCTATATTATGTTATGTTACATGTCCAGATTGCAATGAAATTATCACGCTTACAAAGAGAAAGAAAAGTATGTTCCATACACAGGAAGAAAAAGCAATCAAGAGAAACTGTCCCAGAGGAAACTTTAGTAAGTTCAGATACTGAACTTACTAAACAAGGACTTTAATACACTATTACAAATACAGTGAAAGAACTAAAGCAAATCATATCTTTAAAGAACTAAAGAAAAGGATAAAAAAAAGTCTCTCGCCAAATAGGGAATATCAAAAAATAAATAAAAATTATACAACCTAACTGTATAGAAATTCTGGTGTGAAAAGTATAACTAAAATTTTTAATTTCCTAAAAGGGCTCAATAACAGATTTTAGTGGCAGAAGGAAAAAATCAGCAAACTTGACAGTTGTTCAATTGATATTATCCAGTCTTAAGAACAGAAATAAGAAAGCACGAGGAAAAATAAATGAGCTTCAGGGACTTGCGGACATCATTGAGTAGCCAAATTATGCCTACGAGGAGTCATAGAAGGAAATGGGGGATGGGGCAGAAACATTTGTAAAAATAATGGCCAAAAACTCCTCCAATTTGATTTAAAAACCGTAACCTACACTTACAAGAAGCTCAAAGAATATCAAGTAGCATGTCTAAAGACAAAGAGAAAATTTTTAAAGCAAAAGTGAAACGTGACTCATGCAAGACACTGTCATAACATTAACGGCTGATTTGTCATCAAAAATTATGGAGGCAACATAGTAGTGGGGTAACATATACAAAGGGTGGGGAGAAAAATGTCAACCAAGATTTTTATATCTGGCAAAACTACACTGCAAAAAAAAATGAGAAATTAAAGCATTCACAGAAACATAAATGAGGGAAATTTTTGTTATCATATCTTTCCTACAAAAAATACTAAAAATACTGCTTACACAAAAATAATAGGGTATTAGAGAGTAACTCAAATATACACACAGAGAAAACTCCAGTAAAGAAAACAAGTGAACATAAAAAGCAGTGGAAATGTATTTGTGTTTGATTTACCTGTCAGATTTAAAACAACTGTAGCCCTGGCTCAGCTGGTCAGAGCATCATCCCATACACCAAAAGGTTGTGGGTTTGATCCCTGGTCAGAGCACATACCTAGAATGAAGGTTCAATCCCCAGTAGGGGCATGTATGAAAGGAAACTGATCGATATCTCTTCCTCTCTCTCTCCCCCTTTCTCTCTCTAAAATCAATAAACATATCCTTGGGTGATGTTTTTTTTTAAATGGATGCATTTTATGAAATTGAATTATATCTTATATAAACAATGCTCCAATGAACATCCTTACAGTTTCTCTCCTAGAGCACAAAGTACAAATGTTTGTAAGTCTATGGACCTACAATTGGAAATTCAAGGGGCTAGGTTTTCAATTTTGCTACAATTTGACAAATTGCTCTAAAAGTAGCTTTATCCACTTATACTTCTTCAGTGGTATGAGGAAGTTCCAGTTTCATTCTACCTTTATTATACAAACTTTATAGATTTTTTCATTTTTAGTTATTATTTTATTTCTATTTATCTGTTGTGAAATTGTATATCATTGGTTTGCATTTCCATACTCCAAAGGGCATTTGGTATTTATTTGACCATTCAGTTTTCTTCTTCTGTGAATTTTCTACTCATATCCCTTGCCCACCTTCTAATGGGCTGTTGGTTTGCCAAGAACTACCTTTCAGTGCTGGTAACTTATAAGCCAAAAGCTTCCCTCCTCAGTGGTAAAGGTAAGCACAGCAGCCACCTCTGCATGCCTGCCTTCCAGGCAGGAACCACACCCCTTCCACAATGGAATCTCTAAGATATGTGGTTGCCATGACAAGGGACAACATCTCAAAGGATTCCTTTGCTTGATTATTTTACTTTTGGACAAGAGGGAAGGATTCTCTTCACTACCCTGCCTTGCCAATAATTACAGAAAAATTACGCACAAGTAAGTGATTTTTTTCCCATCAAAAACCATCTTCTTTCTAGCCTTGACTATTTAGTTTTCTTCTGTTAAAAGAAGGAAGTAAGGATATATTGGAATATCTCATCATGGACTCTTTACTAAAGTTCTTACTAGATTTACTGCTTGGAAGAATTTATCTTTGTCAATTCATTTCCTAACTCTGCGTCTATTTTCCACCATCTGACTACACCCCTCCCGCCTGGCAGCCATCTTGAGCACATATGTTAACTCACGAAAGTCTGAATGACCCATCAGCTGACATCCAGCAGTGTTTGGTCTTACCCCCACCCAGCATGCAAGCTCTAAAAGTGAACTCCCCTCCAGAAAGCATTTCATTTTCTTCAATGAAGCTGGATTTCAGGGAGTCGAGAAATAGAAAATTTCATCAGGTGGTAAAAATCCCATGAGATAAATAGTTTAAATATTAATAGACGTGTTGGTCACAATTCACTTATTAAAATAAACCATGCATGTATAGAAATATATACTAGAAAAAATTATATCATAGGGAAAATTCTAGATCTGTCCTAAAATTTCTTCATGTATGTATTTAATCCTGTGAGGTTTTTAACCGAATTCTACCAACAATCTAAATGAACTTGGGAGAGGACCTTGAGTGACTAATGAGATAGCAATCCATGACATTCCAGCAGGTGAATTAATACTACATCCTAGTCATTTAAAACCCTAAACAGAGCCTGACCTTCTGACCTACAGAAACTGTCAGATAATAAAGTGTAGTTTTTAAGCTGTTAAGTTTGTGGTAATGTTTACTCAGCAGAAAAAATTAAATTAATATGATCTACATATCATGCAACATAGTGGCATTAAAATTCATAAATCAAAACAAAACTATAGGAAACTTACTTGTTTAATTCAAAATATTCTTTTGCAGCATTAATAGTAGAAGATTAATTCACCTATGTCAACATGACAACAAGGAATCATAAAACAAGTAAGAATTCAAGACGCAGTAAAGACAGAGGTAAGTGTGTGAGGTAAGTGTGTGTGTGCGTGTGTGTGTGAGAGAGAGAGACCCAAATATCAATCTCTGTCCATGAAAACAAAGAACACATCTTTTTTCCTAATGCCCACAGAAAGATATATTCATAAAAGATAACTATATATGTTAGGATAAGAATTTCTGTATAACTCTCAAAATGTAGGAATAGCAGAAATATTCTCTGATCACAATGGCAAAAAAAATTTTAGAAAGTAATAAGGGACTATGAGACAAACACAAAAAGCCTACCACTTTCCATCTAAACCATTCTATTTTGAAGAATTCTTCAGTCAAAGATGAAAATTGAGACAGAAAGTACAGACTATTGATAATAATCCATATTAGAACCTATAGCATACAGCCAAAATGGGATAAAGAGAAAAGCAATAATAAACCAGAAAGAATGACAGGATGATTGAATCAAATATCCAAAACAGGAGAAAAAGAACAACAAAATAAATATGAGAAAGGCAAAAGGAAAGAAAGCCTACATTAAAGATGAAGCCAAATTCCTGAACTTGATAAGTGGAAAAGAGTAGGACTAATGAATTTATCCAGAATCTGTACTATCTCATGATGAGGGCATTTTACTCCTGTGATATTTTTCCAAAATCCTGTATTTCCCATCTAACAATGAGAAAAAACCAGATAAATGCAAACTGAGTGGTATTCCACAGAATACGTGACCAAGTCCTCCTCAGACTGTCAAGGTCATGAACAAGGAAAGACTGTAGGTCAGGGACAAACAGAAGGGAAGGAAATTAAGGAGACAAGATGACTACATGCAATGAGGGATTCTGGATCAGACTCTGGAACAGAGAAAGAATATAAGTGGAAAAACTAATGAAATCCAAATGAAGCCTACAATTTCGTTAATAATACTAATTTCTTAGTTTTGACTAATGAGCCTCAACGAAGTAAGACAGTAATATTATAGGAAACTGTCAGTGAGAGATGGATGAGAACTCTGTTCTATGTTTGCAACTGTTCTGTAAACATATAATTATTCTAAAACTTAAAAAATATTTTAGAAAGTGAAACACAGGAGACCTAAAAAATCTAAGCAGAGCAATTAAAACAGAAGACATAAAAATAATCTTCAAAGGGCTACCCCCTCAACCAAACAAAAACATAGCAGGTCCTAAAGGTTTTATATGGGATTTTACCAAACATGTCAGTAATTGATGAATGCAATTCTAATTAAATAATTTTGATAACATAAAAAAATTTAAAAGGCACTCATGAAATACCTTTCCCATGAAGTATAGATTCCAAAATAATAAAGTCTTTTCCTTTTCAATTTTAATACACTTTATTTTTTCTGTCTTCTAACAATGGTGGATGGAATGTCCAGAAATAGAAAATGATAGTGATAATGATCATATTTGCCTTGTTCTTTAGTGAGAGTATTTCTAGTTATTTCCTTATTACATCTGGTTATGGCTTTTGTGGTCATATACCACATTAAGAAATTAACTGCATACCTATTTTATTAAGAATTGAAATCAATAAAATAGATTTAAACTTTACCAGAAATTTTTGCCTCAATAAAAATGATCATGTGAATTTTTCTCTTTTTTTTGAGCAATTAACATTAAGAATTGTATTATAGTTTTTCTTTTATTGAACCATCCTTGCATGCTTGGAATAAATACCAGTTAGTTACAGTTCAGTATTCTTTTAATGTGTTTCTGTATCCTATTTGCTAATCTTTGTGTTAAATGTTGTTCAGAATCGTTCATAATGCATTTGAAGTTTTAGTGTATGTGTGGGTGTGTGTTGGGCTTTGCCCTCAAGGACATACCAGCTCCAAATTTCAGAATACACCCCACTCAGTGGTAAGACATTAAGTATATATCAAGAAATTGAGTGTATTTCCTTTTAACTGCTCTTCTTCTCCCCGACTAGTCACTGACCTCCAGAGTCTGCAGTCCAGTGTGAAATGGCAACACCTGGTATGTTATATTCTACAAGGACATTAATGTAACCAACATCTCTTGGGGGAAAACATAGTTCTCTCCATCGTGAGGCTATCATAATCAATGCCTAAAATATGTGTGTGGGAGTGAAAGAGAAAAGAATGGCAATTTGTTTGGACACTGTTTTTAGCTTTTCCCCTTACAAAGTCATGTTCTTGTATACCTTTGCATGACCTTGGAAATGACCTGCAACCCTATTTCAAAAGGGAGAAAGTCTGACCCACCATGCTGTCTGCCCTCTCCTTCCATCATCCCACTGGAAACCCTTCCCACCCAACTGTGTCACAAGTGATGACCAACAACTCGCTCTCCGTCCCAGGAGGATGCCTGCACTTTTCCCTTCCCCCACTTCTTCCGCACAGGTGTGCATCTCCGAAACTCTAAGGGACCCTATGAGACCTGCAACCAGGGGAGCAGTGGGCAGCAGCAGCTCGTCCCAGGCTCACCCCTTGAACCTGTCCCCAAAGCCCCCTTTTCTCTGACTCTCCAGTGAGCTGGCAGCAGCCCCGCCTGGGCTCACTTCTTTCCCATAGCATTTCTAGACAGCCAGAGCAGTCCCGCCTAGTCTCCTGCCGCTTCTATTCTAGGCCTGTCCTTGTTTCACCGTCCCCAGCTTTAATAAATAAACTCTCAGACTAAAATTAGAGAAATAAAGTCACGACCAACAGGAGGAGGACAAGAAGCCATCGCGTGAGCAAACAAAGTACGAGTGCAGATATTTCCCAGTTCAGAGCCACAGCCCCAAAGACAAAGATAATTGAGCTGCGAGAGAGGAAACCCCCTTTCCACTCCCATAACGGCACAAATGGCTAACCCTTCCACGGCATTTACATAGTGTGTGAGGCTCACTCTGAGTGCTTTCAATGAATGGTTCGATTAATCCTCACAACTGCCCGACAGGGTAAGGACTACCATTATCTCGACGTGGCAAATGAGGAAACTGAGGCAGCAGGTGACCTGCCCGCAGTCACATAACTACCAAGTGTCACAGACAGGATACAAACTTGGGAAGTCTGATTCCAGAGTCACTGAGATAAGCACCATGCTACCTTCTGTCAACCCGAAACCAAGATTCTTGTCTGCCTTGGGAATGGAGGGAAACTGTAAATGAATGATGAGGTTGGAGATTTTAAACACACAGGATTTGGTATTAATAATAATGGCGAAGCTGTTTTAATGACTAAAAGACAGAACACTCATGGAATGAGTCAATAAGGGTGACAGTTACTCAGGAGGGACTCAAGGGCAGGAGGTCGGTAAAGAAAGGAGGACACAGAATCAGAGCAGCAGTTACAGAAAAAAATAGAACCATTTTCTAGTCTTCTCCACCAAAGAGTGTTATGAACATTCCCATGTGTGCACATCTGTCCCTGGAAAGATGCCCAGGAAACCAGCCACATCTGTACATACACTCTAGGTGGGGGGACTTGAAAACTCTGCCCACTGTTGACCCATTTGTACATGCGTGTGCACTGCTTTTTAAACTGTTTACATAAACCGAGTGCACTGCTTTAAAAGCTCACTGAAAGAGACGCTTCCACAATCTCAGTTCCATCGCTGGGTCACACTGCACATTTGTCATCTACATTTGCAATAGAAGAACAAGGAAGAGGGAGGAGAACCACAACACGGAGCGTGCACAGTGTAGTCACGGTGGCTCTGGTGGCTTCTGCAGGAGTGGAAGTAATTTCACTAGCTGTGGGAGTGGTGAGTGAATTTATTCAGCTCCCTTAATACCTGGCCTTGGCAAGGGCGCTGGAGACATGAGACCGTCAACACCAGCTTTGCTACGTTCAGCAAAACCCCGGCGCAGACAGCAAGCCTAGCATGGGACATGCACACCCCCAACTCAGGTGCCCCATCTCTCTGCGCTTTTCGGTATTTTGCTGTTGTCTAAATGCTAGTGATGTAGAAACGAAGGGAAAATGTGCGGACTCACATCATATTCCAGAGGACCAAGTCCATGGCTCCCTTTGAGCATCCCCGGGACTGCTTGGGAGTCACTAGAAAGGAATTCAGGTTTCCTCAGAGTCACGATGAGTATGATAACCCCATTTTCCTGCAGGCTAAGGTAGCATCAGAGACACACCTCATGTGCTTGGAAACATCTGAGATTGAAAGAACTAGTTAAATTGCCATGACTCCAATTTTTCTGGCCACGAGTGGCAACAGATACAGAACAGAAATGTCAATGATAGGACATGTATATAAAAACAGGTGGCCAGCTTAGAGAAAAAAGCCAAAACAATGTATTTAGAAGCTCAAGGCCCACCAGACCGGCCCTAGCACCTAGTGTTCTGAAATACCTTACAAAGTACAGATTTCCAGGATTGTGCTGTTCTAACATTCATGTTTGCTGTGGTGTCCAGTGAAGGTCCGCAGTGATTAGGGAGTAGCTGAAATGAGACAAGAGAGAACAGCAGCCACAGAACAGAAGTGAAAGGCAGGAATGGTAATAACCCTCCCCCAGGGCAGGCACTGAGGAATTTCCCGAAATACCAGGGAGCATGTCACACATTCCAAACAACAACAAATTCCTGGCTCCTTCCTGTAACTTCATAGAATAACACCCCTGGAGAACCAGCTTCTCTAAGCTCACCCACCCTTCTTCTTGGCCACTGTGTGCCTTGGCTTTTGCCTTAAACAAACATGAGCAGTATTATGGCACCAGTGAACGCTTGTCAACAAGGAAGGTATGTGCTGTAAATCATTGATGCAACAGAAGATGTGATATTGAATAAAAAGGGCAGAGCAATAACTCGAGGGGTGATAACACGGTGACAAATTTGACTCCATGAAGAGAAGCTGGCTCACAGACTGGAAGCAGAGGGCTGTGTTATTACAGAACACCTGAATGACAAGAGTGACAGTGGTGTGCAGGAGAGCACCTGGTAATGGACATTCCTCACAAAACTGTGTCCGAAAATGCTATGTGAGCACATGGGGTAAGCCAAAAAAGGTCAGCACTTGGTACTGTGGGTTTAAACTGCAGTTTGCCTTGTCTCAACACATCCATGAACTCTTGGGCTTATCCCCCCATCCAAAACAGTCCCATTAGTGCAGTCCGATGTGGTCCCATGATGCCATGAGGCTCCTAGGTCTGTTGTCATGGGTTACTCTCTTTTTCCTGATACAGGAGCACAAGGTGGAAAGCCTATGGAATGCATACGCAAGAATCATAAATGACCAAGCCCTAATCTTGTCCATAAACTCCAGGTATGATAAACTGCAATTCTCTCTTACTTCACTGAGTGACTGTCTACAAAATGTAACAGAGAAAAATCACAACTGTAAAAAAAAAATATTCCAAACTCCACCATCCTAACTCAGCAACTATTTCTTTCTTTTGATCCTAATCTTTCTGTATTGCATGGATAGACAGATAATTATTCCAGAATCATAAGTAGATTGCACACTCAATTTTTCTGTAGTACTTTTGATTTTGGCACTGTATCTTAAGTTTTCATTTTTCATTAAGAAAATGAAATTGTGTTCATTTTAATGGCAGGAGAGCATTCTGAACACTTGAAATTTTCTAAGTCATGTTTTACTAAAATCACTTATGATAATCTTCCTTGTATACACAAGACCGTATCTTCTCTGAAACATATCTTGGAAACACACTTCCGTGAGTGAGGCTGTAGATGTAGACGACAGGCAACCGCAGGGATGCCCTGATGCTGGGTCCCAACTGGTCGGCAGCCTCGCTAACTCGACAGTGCAGACCCACCAGGACCTTGCTGAGACCTTCCTTCTGATGACGCCATGCAGTGGGACAAACAGCTCCAGGGATGACTTGGCTGAAGGAATCCCCACCAGCCTGACCAGACCTCCCTTGGAACCTTGCAGTCCATGATGCTTCCTGCCCCAGCCCTCCTACCTGCCTTTCTCCTCTGGGAAACCTCGTGCATCCCTAAATCTTGTTCTGGACTCCGCTTCCCCTGAACCCTAACACATGCGGATGGGATGAACCTCCTTAGAGCTTCCAATAAACACTGTCAATCTGTGATCCAGAAATCTGCACTAAGTGTTTATTCAAAGGCTAGTCACCTAAATTTAATACATACCTACTTTTTTCTATTTAATGACATAAAAGGCTCAACATTTTGCCTTATTGTTATTTAATTTATATTACTTTCACTATAAGCAAGATAATATTTTCTATGTGTTTTGTATTTTTTATTTTTCTCATGTTCTTTACCAGTTTATTAGAATTTTAGTGGTAGTATATATTTAATAAACATCTCCTGATGTTTTTTATGGTCTTAAATATGTTCCTTTTTATCTTGTTAGAATTGATTTCATAGTCATAGCATCCACATTTTTCTTTTACTTTTTTGTATATCTGATAAAAAATTAATTCCACATTGTACTTTAGTATTATGTTCAGTATCTTTTAGGTTTTTGTTACTTGATTTTTGTCACTCTTTAGTCTCTAAGTTATTTTTATTTATGAACTAATTTAAGCTATGCTTCCCAATGCCATTATACGGACTGGAAGTCAACAAACTGTGGCCCATGTGCTAAGCCCTGCTGTTTTTATAGCCTCCTATTTTTGTACATCCTGAGAGAGAAGAATGATTTATTTTTACATTTTTAAGTGGTTGGGAGGAAAATAAAAGGAGACTATTTCATAATCTGTAGACATTATATGAAAGTCAAATTTCAGGGTCCAGGAATGCTGCGTTGCTGGGGAACAGCTGCACCCGCTCACTCACATACTCCCTCTGGGCTCTGATGGCTGAGCCGGCGTAGACAGAGGCATCCAGTCCTCACCTGTCAGCTGCATACCACAGAAGGTGTTTGCTGACCACTGATACAGATGACGCTGAGTTCAGATACTTCCTTTCCAAAGGCATATTTAACTGTTTCAATGACTTTTTTGTATTTTTCTGTATGACGGAACAGTTATGGGTTTAAAGGGTTCTGAGCTGTTCGGTATCTTCACGGAAGTGATGAATATATGAGCCTCTGTGCGCAATAAAATCATATAGAACTAAATACACACACACAGGAGCAGATGCACAAGTAAAACCTGGGACATCCGACCAAGATCAGAAGATGGAATCGATATCAACACTGTGGTGGTGGTATTACACTCCAGTTTCTAGACAATGTTACCACTAGGAGAAACCAGGTGAAGGGTACAGAGGTCTTTCTGTCTTGTTTCTTACAACAGCACGTGAATCTACAACGGTCTCAACAGACTGTTCAAGTAGAAAAAAAACAGGCTGGTAATAGATTGCAATCTGACTGAGCATGAAATACTGTCACAATAAATTAATGCTGCATTTGGCCTGGAAAGGGAGATAGAGAATTTATCTATGTGTTTGCTAGTTCTATATTAGGGCGTTTTCTATTCTGTCACATTATTTAAAGTTTATTTTATAAACACCACTACACTGTTTGGACTTAATGCTGTTTCATAATAGATTCTCTTAGCTGATTGAGCTAGAGCTTCTTTATTTTCTTGATCTTTTTCAGCAAAGTAGTCTATGATAGTCCTCCCAATTTATTTTTCCAAATGAAATGCAAGTGTGCTTTATTAGCTTCTGATGAAAATGTTCTAAACTTTTAATTGCAGTTTCAGAGTTTGTAAAATAATTTGAGAATAACTGGCATTTATAAATAATCTATTTATGAATATATTTTTATTTATTCAAAATGTTTTATGTCTTCCTTAAAAGTTAGAAGTGTTTTCAATGTAGATTTTGCACACTCCTAATTTATCAGATACACTGTACTTTGCTTTCTGCTTCATTTTATCATGTGGAAAGCCATCACTGATGTGCTGAGATGTGGTCGGATTTGGGGCAGTGTTATGTTTATCCTGTGTTTGATTGAGCTTACCAAACTTTTTTTATTACATTGTGTCTTATTTGAAATACAAGAAACTCTAACACAATATTTCAAAATAAGAAATTAAACCCTTATGCTGTTCCTGTTTTCAATGAAAACACATTACTTCTCAATTAGCAATATATTTGTTCTTGATTGAAACAAAACCTTTAAGGAAACTGGGTTTTTTTCTCTTAGAAATGGTGTTGAGATTTATTAAATATATTTTCAGGTTTGATTAAAGAACTATTATTTAATCTATTAATATATATGTTTTGATTAGTAGTTTTTAGAATATTGGGCCATTCTTACATTCCAATGATAAATCATGATTGGTAGTATTATATTACTCTTTTATTATTTTTATAAATCATTGTTCTAAAATTTTAAACTTTATACTCTTAAATATTTGTTTATATATTTTAGATTGTCTTTTATTATAACTCCACTTAATAATCAGTTATAACCAGATCCCTGATTTTCATTAATTAGTGATTTCTCTAGGCTCACAAATTCATTTGTTTTGAGGTGTGTGTGTGTCTTGCCTAGTTGAATTACCATTTTTTTCAAACTATAAAATGCTCTCCCTGCTCCTCCCCCCCTTGACAAATTTGGGAGGAATAATGATTTTTAATGCTGCTGCTGAGTTCTGTTTACATTTACATTGGTGAAGTATTATGTTATTGATGTTATTAAATATTTTACCACATTTTTTGCTTCAAAAATGTTTTTCCTATTTTCCTCCTCTAAAACTTAGTTGTATCTTCAGTCTGAAAAATACGGTAACTAGAATTTACAAAATAATACTACACAAAAAGAAATAGTGGTTAAGTGTGAAGACTCTGATGTCAGACAGACCAAGCATCTGACGCTGACTCCACCGCTGACAGATTTTGTGATTTCGAAGAAGTTATTTAACTTCTTTAGGTCTCAGATTCCTTATCTGTGAGTCGGGGTAACAATGGTACTTACCTCCTGGTGTTGCTGTGAAGATGTGTTGAGATAATAATGCACTCAGAACAGATAAAATGCGTAGCACCTGATGTTCAAGTCCTCAGCATCTATGCGTTTAACCTATTCTTTTGGAAATCTGATAAAACTTTTGGACTCTTTCCCCTCAAAATACACAGACACATAAAAACAAAATTTGCATCTTATTTTATAGGTTTCATGGACGGCAGACCCTGGATTAGGATCCCCATTCCATATTTTAATTTAACAATTTTTGTCTACCCACATAATAGTTTTCCTTTAATTTTTTATTTATTATAGACTGTGCTTTTCATATATCATCCAAGTATTATTTGGTCCATAAAGATTAACACATTATATTTTCATTATATGTCTGTATAGTTTAAAAATATAAATCAATTTTGTTTCTAATGAACCCATATAGTTTTTTTACTAATGTAATCTTTCTCAATTATTATTTAGTTGTGAGTCCTCTGATTTCTTTTTTACATCTTTATTTAAATTTGCCACTGAGGATCATTATACTTATGAGCTTCCCTTTTTCTCTTTTTTCTCACTTTTTCTCATTTTGTAAAGTACTCCTTTTGCTTATGTCCTTCATTTTTTATAAAAAGAATAAATATTATGATGATAAATTATAATATTTTCCCTTTTTGTATTTTTTATCCTTATTGTATTTTCTGTAGTACCATGTAATCCCCTTTACCCCTCCCCCCATAATCACCAGGTCCTTCATTTCTTTGATTATATTTTTAGTCCTTTTAAAATTTTAAGATATGTGCTTGGTTTGTTACCTTTTTCATTTTAAGTGAGAAAAACTACTGATAGTATTTAAGTATTTTAATTATTTTTGAATCCTCTAATTTTAAAAATAGATTTCTAACACCAATTTCTCATTGTAATTATAGAATGAAACATATATCCTTTCATATTTTAAAACTTTCTATGGCTAAGCATATGATAAATATTTGTCGGCATTTCATCATCTCAAAAGATAATCCTTATCTCATTTAATACAATGTATTATATGTATATATAATAAGTATACCTCATTAATTAGATTCATTATCTCTTTTGCAGAATTTTTTAAAAGATTTTTATTCATTTATTTTTAAAGATAGGAAAAGGGAGAGAAAAAGAGAGTAGGAGAAACACCAATGTGCGGTTGCCTTTCACATGCCCCGTACTGGGGATCTGGCCAGCAACCCAGGCATGTGCCCTGACTGGGAATTGAACCGGCAACCTTTTGGTTCGCAGGTCAGGGCTTAATCCACTGAGCCACACTAGCCAGGGCAGAATTTTATTCTTACCTACCATATGCTAATACATGAATGCTTAATCTTTCCTATAAGAAATAGTGTTCCTATTTCTTTTTGTATCTTTAATGATTTTCTTTAATAATTTCCATTTCTCCTTATATCTTTAATAATGTAATGTATATTTTAATGATCATATTTAATAATTTCTACATTCCATTTCTATGTGGTTTGGATATTTCACATTATTAACTATGCCTTTTGTTTTTTATAACAAGTACATCTGGCTCCCACAATACTCTTTGATTTGAATTAAACATTGTGTCATGTTAATATGGCCCTCCTGATTTCTTTCTGATCACATCTAATACAATTTCCCCATGCTTTTATTAGGAGGTACCTACTTTTTAAAATTCAATTCTGATTCTGGAGATTATACTTGCAAATATGTACACTGACCTTTGCATATGGATGTTATCTAAATAGACTTATTGCTTTATTTAACAATTCCTAGGTTCAATATGTCAATATTTGGTCTACTTCTCACTTCACTTTAATCTGTGAAACAAATATTTAGCTCAAAAATTTAACAAAAGCAAACTCATACAGCAATTTAGTAAGGGATGCTTATTCTTTCTTCCTAAGTGCCTTTCCTTACCACCTAGTCCTGCACCCTGGGACATAAGAACACATGTACACTAAGATGTCACTTGTTACAACACACATTAGCAATTTAATGACCGCTCTTTTGGAAAAGAGTTACACGCAGACGCCCCAGCGTCAAAAAGCCATACTTGCGGACAACTGCCCAAGCTGACCCATAGAGTTGCATGTACCTTTCTTCTTCAGTGTGGCCAGTGTCTGACTCTCAGCCTTCTTCCCACATTTGAAGATCATGGTATCAGAGTATCATGCTACTTTCATTACCCTCATCTTAACCTGAACCATTTTAGCATTGTTTTAGGACTGATGATATGATTTCAAAGTAAACTGAAAGACATTGTCTTCTACTTCATCAGTCTTACTTTTGCATTTTCTTAAAACAGTTCATATATTCCTAGACATTCAATACCTTCCACTGAAAATTCAGTTAGAAACTTTTGATAGATAGCTGTTCAGAGCCTAATAATCCATTAGAGCTGATGAATGACAAAGCAATCTTCCAGGATTTGAAAATTACCTGATATATTCTAAGATATTCCATTCCAAACAATGAATCTCAGAGAAAGTATCTTGACCAGTAGAGATTCTAAGTTCCCCACAAGATTTCACATTTTACCACATGATATCACCATCTTTTCAAAAAGTAATCATTTTCACCTCAAAAAAATCAGGAAGGACTGTTATCCAGATCACATACACCAAAGGAAGAACAACTGTATGACAACTTATCTTTCCAGCTGCCCTTCAGCAGCTGGAAAGATATCTAGAAGACATCTTTCTTTTGCCATCAATTGGAAGATGCATTCCAATATCAGAAATGCTAAAATATGAGAAACATAGTATCATGGATCAGAGAAAATGTGGCAGTGATTTATTTCAAGTGCCCAACACTGGGCATGGCTGAGAATGTAACCACTTTACCTGATTATGTCTATTGAGAAAAATAGTCTGATTTCCAAATAACTAATTACAGATGTCATCCCTTTATATTTAAAGCACCATCTTCAGTTTTATGAGACAATTTAAAACCCACATATCATATACAGCCAAAAGATGGGCCTCCTTTTCTAGTCCATGCTCTCTTCTTATTAAAAAAAAAGGCACCAAAATTAGGTGATATTTGTTTTCTCCTCAATTTAATCACTACACCCTTTCCTTGCCAGCTTTGTGGATCCCCTGCTGCAATTTGAAACTCAGTTGAAGATAATAGAGTCATCCTTTAAAGCAGTGTTTGCCATCCCAAGTCTTGAGGAAGTGAAAGAAATGGGGAACGGTAACGATGACGAGGACCTGCAGGTGAGAGTCTGCCCCCTTTAACCGTGCAGACATCGCCAAGCACACAGCAGTCCTGCACAGCCTCTTTTCTCAGGTCGCTACCTTTGTGGTTTTCTCCTTCACTCTTTTTAGACACAAGAGATACACAGCACTTCCCAGCACTGATCTCTACCCCTGCGTTCATGAATTCTGCAACCCATGGGATTTAATAGATTGCGTAGGTTTTATGGGAACAAATGGGTGAGTGGATTATTAGTTAATTGGTTGAGTAAGGACAGGGAGTTTACTGGCAAGTTCTGCAAAGAAGGAAATGTCAGCAGAGAAAGGTGGAGCCAGGAAGAGTCCCATAATAAGATCAGTAGTGTGTATGGTCTCTATTTGCTCAGCACAGCTGCACAGTGCACTGGCCCTGCGGGTTCTAGAAGAAATGCCCGGCACGTGGCATTGGGTGAGCTCTCATCACCATAGCTACCACTCTCCTATCTTGCCTGTGGTTTATGGGAAGAACTCAGGACACCAGGATGCAAAACCTATAGACAGTGGGGTAAAATTTTAGGTAAGGCAGGCTGGCTGTTTATGATACATTTTTGTTTTTCAGGAATTATACCAAAGTATTTTAAACATATATGAGGACACTCTTCTAATCTTAGTGTCTAAAGACTTCTACAAACTGCAAATCTTAAAGGTAAAGGGAAAAGGAACCATTTTGTTCTTGTGTCATAAACCCAAGGACACTATATTTCTTATTTCCCATTTGCCATATGTAACATCTCCCTCAAATATCTGGCACCCCAAAATTTTTTTTCCTCCCAACATATGCAAGTAACACCTAAATGAAATCACTTTCCTGTATTTGAACTACAGAGATGCCCTTATAAGAATTTAATTTGGGGAGGATGGCATGAACAGACATTTGAGAAGCCAAGTACTATGTGGCAGTGACACGGGGCATCCAGGCACAGGATGATCAACCTGGACTACGTCCAGGTCCGTGGAACAGCGAACCAGCTTTGGCAGGGTCTATATGTGTGTTCTTCCCCAGCAGCTCTGCAGCTGGGGAATTCATGGTCATCCTATCATCATGGATACCATGCTATCCCCAGAAACCCTAACCATCATCCCAAACCCACTTTCACATCCAAGACCTCACTGTGTCCCTGATGTCCCAGCCAGAGACAGAAGACATCTCTGGACACCTTATGGTCTTTAATTTTGCATTCTGTGCATGATGGCATCAGGAGGTGGCTGTCTGGAAATACTGGAAAACCAGATGCACCTACTCTGCCCAGAGCATCCATGGGTTGTCCAAATCATAAACTGCACTCAAGTACAGAAGCCAAATCAGCATGCACGAGGACAAGGAAGACAGTGAAGGAAAGTGAAATACATTGAGCTAACTGGTGCCTATTCTGAGGCAAATGTTTTCCGCACATTTTTAAAATGTTAATTGTACAGCTTTTTACAGTATCATTTTTGATCCATCATTACAACCCTCCCCCATGTGGGCTCTTACAGCACCACCACCCCCATGCTGCTTAGTGAGCAGTCACTGTTTGTCAGGCAGGAAGCTGAATACTTACTACATGGGCTATACCTCATTCGGTACTTAACCCTGTGAGGAAGTTGCCATTATTTCTCCCACATTGCGGATAGGGAAATAAAAGCAGAGAAAGGAGCTCGTTTGGTAGAACTGAACAAAATAAAGCCCAGGGGTAGTTCCCGCAGCAGACAAAGGAGTACACCAGTAGATGGCAGTCTACCAGCTGGTGGTCGTGTATTTTTTAAGTAAATGTAGGTGAGGTGTGAAATCGTCAGGGGCATGGGGACCCGTGATGTGCTGGGGTCTCCTCTGTTCAGGAAATGCAAACGCCGTGGCTCTAGGGTGACTCCTGTGTTTTCAACAGGAGATGGCCGTGTGGATGAGCAGAGACGAGTCGTGCCTGCAGGAGAGAATCCTGGTGATCATCAGCAGGGTGCTCATCTTCGCAGCCAAGAAAGTCAAGGAAAGTGTAAGTCACTGGGGGCTTCCGCAGACTGCATTTCTGCAGCGCCCCTTCCTGAGACTCGGGTCTGGAGGGCATCGGCAGCTGCGGGCATGACTGCGCAGGCAGGTTGAGATACTGGGAAAGGCGTCAGTGTCCCTCGTGACTCTGTCCATCAGCAGACCTTCTCAGACCACAGATTAAGATGTCTCATGCTTCATACCAAGGGTACAGGTGTGTCAAACCAGCTTTTTGCTCACTGTGTTGATTCTCCTCTGCAGACCACAACCAACGTTATTCGTGACCTTATAAAGTCTTCCATCCTTACTTTCCTTCTTATTTCTCCTTTTCTCTCATATTTTTAATAATTTTTTATCATTGTTCAAATACAGTTGTCTCCATTTTCCCACCACCGCTTTCCCCCGCCCAACCCACTCCCACCTCCCACCCTCAATCCTACCCCACTTTGGCTTTGTCCATGGGCCTTTAGCTTTGTCCATGTTCATTTATGACCCTTTTCCCTTCTTCCCCCCATTATCTCCTCCCATTTCCCCTCTGGTCACTGTCAGTTTGTTCTTTGCTTCAAAGTCTCTGTTTATATTTTGCTTATTTGTTTGTTTTGCTGATTAGATTCCACTTAAAGGTGAGATCACGTGGTATTTGTCTTTCATTGCCTGGCTTATTTCACTTAGCATAATGCTAAGTGATCTCACTTAGGATGGAAGCAGACCAGCATGTCCCAGAACACAGACACTAAGCTCTCCAGTTCCACCCATACTGTCTCCAAGGGTAGGAGCTCCTTCCTTCTTTCTTCTGTGTAGTATTCCATTGTGTAAATATAACGCAGTATTTCTTGTGTAAATATACCACAAGTGATTGTTGAGAACTTTCATTGGAACATACTAGAGATACGGCCGAAGTCTCCTTCACCCTCCTCTCCACCTCAGTTCCTTCCTCCCACGCCAGGTGCTGTGTGTGCTGCCCACAAACAGCTGTCGGACGGATCCGCACCTGCACAGGTGGAGAGAACACGGCTTTGCTCCTCGGCGTTCCCATCCTGAAGTCGTCTTTACCCAAGGTTCTGCGAGGCGCTCTTTTCACAAACAATGTGTCCTACAGCTATATCTCATTCTTTTAATTACCGCACGTACTGCATAACTTTAATACATGAAAATCTACTTAACTCTTCTTCAGCCGATGGACTTTTCAACTGGATAGCTTGGTGTATTTTGTGTTTTCTCCCTCAAACAATATAAAAATGGTCATCTTTGTGCAAGTGTGTGAGTAGGCTGAGAAAGACAGGAGAGCAGAAGTATGAGTAGAGTTGAGAAAAGCACACTGTCTCTCAGTTCGCATCCCTGAGAGGCGAGAATGGCCTCTCCCATTCTCATCGCCAACCTGGGGCTGCCGTCAGACCTGTTCTCTGGGGCCTTTCAGATGGAGGAGAACAGGTGTCTCCTAACTGCCAATACTGACTGGGGTTTTCTGTGTTTTGAGTGACATCCTTGCCCGCCTTTCATACCGTCTACGAACACACCTCCCCCTTGTGGACACTCAGCCTCTCTGGGTGGCAGTTGTAACGTTCACTGCCCCCTGCCCACAGCCCACCCCTCCACTGTGAAAGAACAAGTGTGTAAGAACAAGTGTTCACACATGCACTGCTGAGGGTTCCCAGCTACAACAGATTTGTTTGAGAAGCCTAGCCCACCGCTCCGCTCTGCAATGCCTGCCGCGTGCCACCAGGTGGAAGCAGACCAGCATGTTCCAGAACATGGACACTAAGCTCCTACTTGTGGCAGCAACTTTACCAAGTGAACTTCCTTTTCAAATACTGTCTTCTAAAGATGGCCAAGTCAATGATATTAATGGGGTGGGGAAATAAGTCTATGAAACAAAACAATCAAAACTATTATCAATAAATTTAAATATTATCAATAAATTAAAATATGTTAATAAATTAAAAGCTGCGCTTCCCACAGAGCTTGAGCTGTGCACAGAATCTCTAGGACACAGACAAATGGACGACGGTTTGTGCCGCCCTCCTCCAATGCAATGCCACTGCCGATTCCGTCCTCGGGAGAAGCCACCTCATCCCTAAGCATGGCGTTCACTGAAAAAATCCTTTTTCTTTGTACACTACCCTTTGTCTTCTGGAGTCTCAGAGGCTCCTGTCCTGCTGAACAGCCCTGGCTGTCATTCATACTCCATCAGACACAAGTGGCATTCCTCTTACATGACCCATGTGCTCATCAGGATAAAAAAACTCCCACAATCGAAGAACATTTGTTCCTTCCATTAAACTCTTCAAGAAATGTGAGCCAAACATGTCATCTTATAGCATTAACAGAGGTTTTTTTCCCCTAGGTTTGTTCCTTTGGCACATGAGCATTTAAAAAATTGGAGGAAGCCCTGGCTGGTGTGGCTAGTTAGTTGGAGCATCATCTCATACAGCTAAGGTTGCAGGTTCGATTCCCAGTCCAGGCACCTACCTAGGTTGAGGGTTCAATCCTGGTAGAGGAGCCCACAAAAGGCAACCAATTAATGTTTCTTTCTCACATCAATGTTTCTCTCTCTCTTTCTCTCTCTCTTTCTTTCTCTCCCTCCCTCTCCCTTCCTCTGTCTCTCTAAAAACCAATGAAAAACAATGTCCTCAGGTAAGAAAGATTTCCAGTCAAAGCTAACAAACGGACGTGTCTTTATCTCCTCTGTCCCCTGAGTTCTCACAAAATGACAGTGATGACATTTGTTGTGGGTATAAACCCACAGTAACAAAGAGAAGGAGCGAAGGGTTGTCGGTGGGCTGGTGACACCCACCAACTTGCAGGAGAGAGTGGAGGGAACACGGGAGCTGACAGAGCCTGGCTGGGGGGCTGAGAGGCCAGAGCACATGAACTTGGGCTGGGGGATAGCTGCAAAGGAAGGCAGTACACCTGCTGGAACCCCAGAGAGGCTGGCCCTGTGGAAGCCCAAGTAACACTGACTAATGGGTGGGAGGCAGAGGCAGGCTGAAAACAGAAGCGTTCAGTGAAAGAATTCATCCCAAGTTCCTGCAGAAGGACTGCATGTTGCCTCCCCTCCTCATAGACACACAGACTCTACTCCGTGGGCCATGGGCCCACTGGTAGGCGAAATCTGAGACTTTTTTCTCAAAACAGCTGTCAGTTCCCCAACAAAATTATCTTGATGTTGTTTAGATCTCCATGACCCCAGTCTTTCCACCTCATCATTTGAAAGCAAAGCCCACTGGCTGACAAGTCTTGCTCACATAGAAAACGTCACATTCTTAAATACAACCAGACAACTAAGATGTGTGAGAAAATCCTCCAAATATACGAGATCAATGTCAAGAGAAAATAAGATGATCAAAAATAGATATTCGAGTACAGACAAGAATTTAGTCTCGATAAGAGTTGATAAGACATTTATAGGACTCCTAAAGTAGGGAGAGTCCCCAGCCCTGCCTTACAAAGAAGTCTACGCAGAAAGGATCTGAGAACATTCACAGAAGAAAAAGTTGTCTTTCCTTCTTTTGCTGAAATCATCATTCTCAGCATCCTAATTCAGTTATGCTCATGGCCCATGACCCAAGTCACTTCATCTTCTTCAGAATGATTCTGTGTGTGTGTGTGTGTGTGTTAGATAGATAGATGGACAGAAAGAATAGGGATAGAGGGACAGTGGGTTGGTGTGGCTGGGTCAAGCAGCATGAGAGGCAAGACTAAAGGAACACAAGAGAAGTGGAAAGGAGGCCAGACGAGCCGTGGGACCCCCTAGAGGGCCGACTTGACTCTAGTTTTACCACCACCATTTGCTCCAACCACCGCAGAATTTATCCGGGAAAAGTAATCACTTGTCTTAGAGACGAGAAGATTCTGCAGGCCCAGAAGCTTATCAAACCTATGTGTGGATGGAGCCCTTTGAAAACAGAACATAATGACAACAAAAGGAAAATAGTTACTGTACTGAAACCTTCACAAAGCAAAACGTCTCTTCCACCTCTCCTCTCTTATGTCTCCACTCACTTCTTTCTGTGTTTGATCTGGCCAAACAAATCAGTCGGGATAAAAGCCTACGGAATATTTTGGACTGTTAGATGCACCGGACCATAAGACGCACCTAGGTTTTAGAGGAAGAAAATAGGGAAAAAATTTTGAAGCAAAAAATGTGGTAAAATATTTAATAACATAAATAACATAGCCCGCCCGCCCCCACCCACACTGAGCCAGGTAAGCTACATTACGACTGTAAGACACACACCCCTTTTCCTCCCAAATTTTGGGGGAAAGGTATGTCTTACAGTCTGAAAAATATGGTAAATATTTGAGTAGCCTATATTTTAAGGACATTGCAGGGAACAATACATAAGTGTGTGGTAGCAGCTTTGACATCAGAATTCAGTGCTCTGAATTTTAAATAATGAATTTCCCTTGGAAGAATCAGAGCAATTTCAGGAGGAAAATTCACATTTCTCCAGAGGCTGATAGAGTCACCCAAATTCTTTCATGCAAAGAGAAGGAAGCCCGAGAGTGTTTGGATATCAACCTCCATGACCTCCCGCAGGTATCCTGGGAATCTGCTACCTGCGAATCGCTACCTGATTTATGAAACACAAACTAATAAAGACTCAACAAGTCACTGTCATCTCTGAGCATTTGCTACAAACTTTCTTTCGTGTCATCCACATTACTCCCTTAGTCTCCAGAGCAAGTGCGGGGGCGACTACTCTCTCGAGGTCCCCCCGGTGCCACGGATACACGTGAGTGAATAAATATGGCCGAGACAAGATGAGATCTGTTTGGGGATGGAGGTGTGGGCTGTGGCCAGTTTCTCCGAGGAGAAAAAGGCCCCAAGTGCCTTTCTCCATAGCCTTTTATTGGGTTGTAATACACAGGAATACAGGGCGGCAAGGATCAAACAGTAGATAACATTACAAAGAGGTCTGAGGGCTTACTATGAGTCAGAGTTGCAGAAACTTTGGGAGACAAATTCATTTCCTCTTGGACCCTTATCATATGAATGAAAGCACTTTAAGAAGATTTCACAGGTTAATCAGCAAGTCTTTGTGATGCCAGATTTTCTCCCAGGGCACGCTCTGGCCAGGCAAGGAGTTGTACCTCTCCCCATCAGGTATTCAGGCTTAAGGGGATTAGAGCCAGGAAGCACTTTTCCCAGAGTACATGGGGACTCAGGCTTTGACAAAGCTGGGGGGTGAGAGTCCATTGCTCTCTGTTGCAGCCCCCTGAGTCCTTCCATGAAGGCCTCCCAGGTGATGGAGTCTGGCTTAGGTTGCCCCCCGCTGTGAGGGGTCTTGACTTCCCGTCATTGACTTCCAACCAAGCTCTAGGGACAGGGAGAGGAACTGAGGCAGTGTTTGCTACCAAAGACAGGTTTTGTCTCCTGCAGCTGGCATTCCAAAGGTCCTCTCTCACCCTTAGCCACAAGGGGTAGAGATACAATTCCTAAAATCAGGCAGAGCGGTCTACTACAAGCAAGTGTTACCAGGCAGCAATTCACAGATGCAGAACCTGAGGCTCAGTAACAGCACCAAGGCAGGCACGTGGCTCCTGTGCACTCCAAGGCTCATCTTCCGGTTCTCGACTGGTGTGTACGTTAGAGGTTCGGGTACAGACATCCAGTGCTGACTCTACACAGCAACACATTTCCCCCCTCTGTTTCCTCCTGCCAGGGGAAGGCGGACGCTCCCTGTCTGGGGGTCCTGACGGCAGAACTGTGTCTCTTGTGCTTGCACACCGACCGGTCCATCACACAGCCAGCGTCCTTGGCAATGTACCACCTCCTCTGCATCGCCAAGCGTCAGAGTGGTAAGGCCAAACCATCCCCTTCTCCAAGGGTCACTGAGAATCTGTTGCTAAGATCAGAACAAACCCCAGTAAAAACGTAGAAACAGAAAACCAATAAGAGAGCAGCCATGAAGCCCAAAGCAGAAGGGAGAAAACCAGAGAGAAGAGACAAATGACCTACATCAGAAATGAGAGAGAGAGGATGTCACTAGAAATTTGGTGGGTGTTAATAGTAAGGGACATTATGAACAAACACCTTTATGCCTGTACACTTGACACATCAGACACATTCACTGAAGACACAAATGACGAAAGCTCCCTCAAGAAGAAATAAATAACCCGAATACCCCACATCTGTCAAAGAAAATAAATTTATAGTTAAAAGCCTTCTTACAAAGAAAACTCCAGCAAACACGCAAAGAAGAATTGTACTAATTCTATACAAATTCACGCAGAAATGTGAGGAGAGGAAATACTTGCCGACTCATTCTTTGAGGCCACCATTATTCTAATACCAAAACCACAGAAAGACATTACAAAAAATAAAATTAAAAAACTAGAGACCAGTGTCTCTCAAGGACATAGATGTGAAAATTTGAAACAAGTTTAGCAGATCAAATACTCCAATACAAAAAAAAAAAGAATAATGTACCATGACCACATGGAATTTCTCCCAGAAATGAAATATCAATTTATCATTTGAAAATCAACCAATGTAACATACTACATTCACAGATGAATGAAGAAACTACATGATCATATTAGTAGACATAGAAAAAGCATTTGGCAAAATTCAACATCCATTTCTGATTTAAAAAAATACTCTCAGAAAACTAGACATTAAAAGCAAGCTCCCTCTGCCTGCCAAAGTACATCTATGAAAAACTGACAGCAAACATCACACTTGATTGTGAAATACTGAACGATTTTCCCAAAGATCAGGGAAAAGACCAGGGTGTGCACGGTCAGCACTTTTGTTCAACCCTGAGCAGAGTCCAGAAATGGATCCACACGCATGTGGTCAAATGAATTTCAACCCAGTTTCAAAGGCAAGCCAGTGAAGAAAGGACACATTTCAATAAACAGTGCCTAAAAAATTGGTTACTTTATATACTGATGGAGGGAGACTTGACTTGGGGTGGTGAACACACAGTACAATATGCAGATGATGTACCATAGAATTGTACCCTTGAAACTCACATAGTTATTAACCAATGACACCCCAATAAATATAACTTTAAAAATTAGTTATTTGTAGGCAAAAAAAGAACTTTGATCTACATCTCATACATGCACAAAAGCTAATTCAAAATGGATCATAGGACTAAATGTAAAACCTGAAATTATGAAACTAGAAGAAACCTTGGTACCTTGGATTAAGCAAAGATTTGTCAAATACAACACCAAAAGCATGACTCATAAATGAAAAAATAAATAAATTAAGTATTTCTGGTCTGTGAAAGACACTGTTAAGAGAATAGGTAAGCCACAGATTGGGAGAAAACATCTGCTAGTTGCATATCTGATAAAAGACTTGTGCCCAGAATTTGTACCCAGAATGAGAAAGCAGAGACTCAAATTAAAAGCAATAGTGGACTTGAATACTTACTTCACCAAGCAGCAGAGACAGCATGGAAACACACCAAACCACGTTCAGTACAGAGTCATATCAGGGATGTCAATCAAAACCTCTACAAGACACCCCTGGACGCCCGTTAACATGCCTGAAGCCGGAGAGCGTAGCCGTACCACATGTGAGGAAAGACGGGAGGAACCAACCCCTCCCACACTGCCCACGGGCATGTGAAATGACACGACCCTGGGAAATCATTTAGCAGTTTCCTGAAAAGTTACACACACACACCTACCATATGACCCAGTCACTATACAATTTAGTCTCTACCTAAGAGAGGTGAAAACAAATCTCAAACAGAGACCTACACACACATGTGGACAGCACCTTTATCTGCAATAGCCACACACTGGAAACAACCCAAATGCCCATCCCTCAGCAGGTGATGGGGCAGATGGGATGGGACAAACAGAGCAGAAGAGCATCCGGTAGAGAGGGATGAACTACTGGCACATCCAACTGCAAGGATGGATCGCATTTTGCCGACCGAAAGGTGCTAAACAACAGAAGAGTATATACTAGTTGACTCTACTTGCAAAAAACTGGAAAATACAAGCCTAGCAGGAAGCGGACCAATAGTGGCTTTTGGATCCAAGGGCAGGAGTGTGGGGGGAAGGGGGAGAAGTCAGAGCAGGGTCCAGAGAAGCAGGTAGGAGGGGTTACAAAAGGGCATGAGGAAACTTTTACAGGTGATGACTATGTTTGGTTTTGTTTCCTGTGGTAATGTTTTCATGAATATATACACACATGAAAACTTACCAAATTATAGGCTTTAACTATGTTGTATGTTAGTTATATCTCGGTAAAACTGTTAGCAAATGAAATAATTTAAAAACCCCACCTTCTCTGGAACCAAAGACACCTGCACCTGAAGCTCTGATCAAGCGCTTCCAGCTTTCCTGCTTCGCCGCCTCCCCGCCCCGCAGCCCTGGCAGATGGCCCGCAAGTCCACTCTTCCCACAACAGCCTCTCTGGTGCTTTACAAGAGCCCCGAACAATGGTTCTGACGCCTACACGTATGAATATCTGGTCCGCCTATTGAAACAACCTACGTTCTCCATTCCCATTTCACAGAGGCCTCTCCTACAACACTAGAACTCTGAGCCCATGCGGTCATCACAGTTTATGTGACCAAACTATCACCGGGGTGTTAAATATTCAGAAGCTTTCTGATCTCCAGAAATGGGAAGAAAGAGGAAATTGGAAATAGCAACATCATAGAAAGAATCAGTGATCAAACAAAAAAAAGATTAAGCTCTTTTCTTTCTTACAGAGGACCTTGTACACAACACAACAGCCAAGTACGAACAGTCTGGGGATCGGTGTCTCCTGTCTCACTGCTGTGACATACAATTCCTGCTCGACGTCTTGAAAGAAGACAAAACTGAAGTTGCTCGGGTAACTTAGCCCATTTTATCTTACAGCTTTTGTTTCATGTAATATTGTTTTTTTGGTGATGACGTATTTCAACATAGCTTATATTTTAATATTTTTTTCATTTTATATATAAGGAATGTACACAAGAAATACACCAAGAGAAAATGTGGCTCACTCATCTTTCTTAACTGAGAAATGCACATCATGTAACTTTGCTCACATTTTATGTTCCACGGTCCATGGACATTCTTCTCACTTTAAAAAGGGATTGCTTGAATTGCACTTTTTGTACCACACTCATGGACTTCTGGGCCCTTTTTCTCCTCTCCCTGCCTCCTAGTCCCTCTCTGGGAAAGAGGGAAGTCCAACCCCTTCACACGCCACCCTCTTCTGTATCTTCTACTACTTACACTTGTTTCTGATCTGAGCAAAATCACTTCCAAGACTGAAGGAGTTTGCAATGACTTCTAATATGTGAGTAGCTGAGTTGGGGTAAAATCAGTAGTTTACAGTTCCTTAGTTTGAATGCTATGGTTCTCAACTTCTCCCCAGCCTTCCCTCAGAGCTAACTTACCCAGATAAACATGTTTTCATTGCTTTAAAAGTCAAAATAAAAAAGACAGGTATAATTTAGCTTGAATTATAGTCACCTTAATACCAACCCACTGTCAAGTATAGTTTTTAACACGTATTAATAGACGATGAGGCCCACGACAGCAAAGGTGACTGGAGCCCACGAAAACCACGTGGCGCCATCTCCCCAGGGCTCCCGCGAGATGCCTGAGGCCCCGGGATGCAGCCGGGGCCTGAGGTGGCGGCTCTCTCTCTGGGTTGCAGAGCATAGGACACATGCTGCTGCCATCCATGCTGACTGACTTCGTGTGGAGTCTCCTGATGAGACTGGCTATGCCTGACCGCGGGATGGCGAAGGAGGCGGCCAACATGCTGAGACTGACCCTGGAGCACCACGCCCACAAGGTCACCATGGTGAGACAGGGGCCAAGGGGCAGGGGATCACTCTGTCGAGTGCTCCTGTGGCCATTGGTACAGATCTTCACATATAGGCCTTGCCACTGTGTCATCGTGTCAGTAATTAGGTGAGGCTTTGGGGGTGGAATAGTTCAAGCATCCAGAAAAGTTTAGAAAAAGATGTAATGGACATTTTACCCACGATTCATCCACATCATAACATCTTGCCTCATTTACTTCAAATTTCCAAATGAAAAGAGTGAGTAACGATAAACTAGTGCAGCTAGAATTTGAATCACCCTTGGAACCACGGAGGGCGGTTTCGAAGGGCCCGGCTGCTGTAGGTTGGCCACCTGATTTGTGGGGCCCAGTGCAAAGTGACACAGGGGGCGTCTGGTTCAAATGCAGGTGGGAGGTGCCGTGAAGGTCCAAGCATACAAATCCTTCCCTGTCCTCCACCATCTGTCTCGTTCTCTTGCCTCTCTGTCTCTCTGTTTGTTATGGTGTTTTTATTTAAAGTCTTTGTAAGTGAAAAACAACTAAAATTTGAAATTGTAGTATGAATTTCACCATCCATGGTTATATTGTGCAATTCCAATTACAGCTGTAAATATAAGAGCATTGGACTGAACAAACGAATGCAATTCATAGCTCTTGCATGCAAATTTTTCATTCTTGCTGGAAGACTGGCGATGCTACAGAACTTCATTGTTTTTACTTCATGTCTTGTCCTTCGCACATTCTGTGAACATCCTTTATCCTCAGCTTATTGAGGGGGAAGGAAGACAGAAAGGAAAAACATGTATGGGGTCTCCACCTTTGTCTTCCTCCCAGGCCTAAGTGCTCATTTTGTACTCCTTTCATTTCCCCCTGCACTCCTCTGCATCTCGGGTCCACGGGAATTCTGCGCACAGGGGTGTGGCTGACTCACATATTACACACACCTCCTCTGCTCGCACGCATGCTCTACGCCCCGTGAAAGTTCATTCACAAAACACAAACTCAAAGATAAAATCACTAAAACTACTGAGCAGGCAACAGCTGAGCTTTAAACAAAGTGAGGGACTTTCAGGGTAGGACCCTGTGCAAATGCACAGGTCACGGGTCACATGCCCCTGAAACCAGCCCCAGTGGTGACAGGAGGGGGCAACTTCAGTTCCCACACCTGACATCGCAGTGTTAAGTGACTGAAAGTAAATGAGAGCTGGGACTCGGGTTCGGAGAGCAGGAAAGGGGGGAGGGGAAGGCTCCTTCCAGGCCTCCCCGTGCCACCACCCGACGGGGGCGTTCTGAGAGTAGCTCGTGGAACCGGAGGAGAGCTGAAGGCAGCGGTCAGGTCCACGAGAAAATTCTCCCCTCACCCAGTGAGAAAGGGAGGCTGGGAAAAGCCATACCAAGTCCCCGGAGAGGGAGAGAAGCCAAACCAGCTGATGCTAGAGTAAAATCACTGAACAGAGAGAGAAAACCCAGAAACAATGGCTGGTCAGCAGCCCAGAGCCCCAGCCCAGCTCCCACACACCACTGAACACTGGGTAAAGTGGACTCTTCTCTTAAACAGGGTTCTAACACCAGTTATAATGAAAGATTGTGTGTGGCAAAATATATTACTGCCCCCCCAGTCCCCTGGATGGCACGCACAGTATGTGGCTTCACAACCTCTAAACGAGGCTGACGCAGGGAGTCTTTCCTGGAGGGTCACAGCAGGCCATTCTTTCCCTAACAGAGCAGACAGTACTGTGGCTGCCTCAGCTGGGGGACACGCTGCTTTCACAGGAGGAGGAGGGGAGGGAAGAGGCCTAGACCCGATAGTTAACAGGCCCATAGAGAAGAAGAGTGGTCTGGGGTCTCCAGTTTCTCGCTCACCCTGGTGCAGATGCGGAGGAGGGATGTCTGTACTACTTGGCACTTCACCTTTTCTCTTTCCTTTGGAGTAATGGGTTGAGCATGTACCGCTGAACTGTATTTGAGGCGGTTACAAGAGCATATAAAGGTACTTCAAGTTTTCAGCTTATGACCTCTAGGGAGCACTGGCAGATGAGATCTGCTGCTGAATATACAAGCACCGATCCGAGACAAATCCCCAGACCGAGCTAGCGCTCTCCCTTTCCAAGGATGAGTCAAAATGGGGACAAAATACAACTAACATGGGGCCTGCAAATAGAATTTCCAAGATTATGACTCAGTGTTTACTGTTCTGGGCCATCCCTCCAACATACAGCTCATTCCTTCAGTATGTAGAGTTAAGATCTTTAAATGTTTAAGAAAATTGAACTATATGGTTCCATTGTTATTCTGTTCCGTTATTTTTACTTTCTTCTTTAAAAGTGTGCATTATAGCTAGGTTTTCTATATTGAGCTTATATATCTCATATAATTATATTGTGTATATTCCCCCAAATAAACTTTTTTTGTAAAATGGGTATTTTTCCCACTATCGATAAAGACACAGATAGGTTCATTTCTAAACCAAATAAGTATTTTGCATTGTGTGGTCACACACATAAATATGGTTTCCACTAGTATTTTATTTCTGGGCTAATTACTTGCCTTGGTTATTCTGAGAAGGACTAAATTCTTCAGTCCAAGAAACGCTTTGCTCTGGCGGGGACTATGGCCCAGGAGACTCCGGCTGACCTGGGGAATTGCTTCTCCAGGTGTCTAAGATGGTGGATCTTATTTACATGAAACTGTGTGAGAACTCTAATCACGTTATGAAGCACGCCATGTTGCAGGTCATCACCTTATTGACACGTACTTCACCGAAAAAAGTCATCTTTCAGCTGATGGACTACCCAGTGCCCGCAGACAAGTAAGGTCCCCTCGGCCCTTCCTCAAGGGGTCGTACACAGTGCCCAGAGCCGGACAGACCAGGACATGCCAGTTTTGGTTTCCTTTTTTTCCGAAAGGAAATATCTACTTTGGCATCACGTGGGATGACTGGAAGCCTTAAGTAATATCACACAGGTCATTCATACACTTGTACGATACCTGGCTCACAGCAGACCATAGAGAAATGATCACTGTGTCATTTAGCTGAGTCTTTGTGCTCTTCATCTCCAACAAAAACACACCTCCCCTCAAAGTGATAATGAGTTTTTCTCCACAATCTTGGGATGAGATTCATAGTTCTTTTCTCATTTATGAAAGACAGATGTTCAGATATTCCCACCCACCAATAAAATAATGAAACAGTAAACATTCCCAGATGTAATTGGGAGTCCCCTACCCCTTAGCTGTTTACCTGAAATTCGCGATCCAGGATCATAAGAAATATTTAAGAAGAAAATAATGCTAATGTGAGCCTATGGGGCGGTGAACCTAATACGCACATGGGAAGAGATTAGGAATTACATCTGTCTGTTTCTACAGTTTGCGCATTGGAGGGGAAGGTATTACCTCCCGACTATTCATAGTATAAAAGGCAGAAGGTGGCATTATATTTAGAATTGGTCTGGGCTTTGGAAACAGAGGAATCTGAATCCTATCCCAGCCACAAAAGTTTCGTAAACTCCTTGATTCTCAACTTTCTTGCTGTGAACTGAAAGCAGCTCATTTTATGCGTAAAGCTGTTACAGGGGCAAACAAGTTAGCATCTGGGGCCGGGCATCCAAGTCAACAAAACGCTAAACCAATTCTATGATGGACTTTCTTTTTCCAACAGAAAGATTGTATTTATTTAGGAAGTTTAACCTCACAAAGAAAATTGAGGAAATTCCTAAGAAACTAAAATTCTTCATAAGACTCGAGTGTTTTTCATTCAGGAACTAAGCACCCACTGTGTGTAGAATATCACCAGCCTTCCAGCATTTTGTTAAGTGCAGGGAATGCCCCCACAGGGCTGGGAGGTAACAGTCTGCAGTGAATCCAATACAAACAATAGGTTTTGAGGAGGCACAGAAAGCAAGAAGATTACAGCTGGGTGAATTTAATTCAAATAGCCCCTAGCAGGTCTTGTTCAAGTGTAGGTAAAGTAGACAAGAGGAGAGTCAGGAGATAGGCTAACTTGGAAAAACTGAAGGAAGCCCTGGTCAGCCAGAGGCATGATCGAGAGATGGAGGAATGAGACGGACATGTCTCATTTTGTGTCCACGTGGCTTCGAGCACACTTCTAAGAGGCAGGGACAGTTAAGTAATGCCACATGCTCAGGGCCCAGCCAGGCCCTCATATAGGAACCTAAAGGCAGAGAGACTGAACAGTAGGGCTTGGAAGCCGGCATGGATTGACAAGGCAGCAGGAATACGCCAGCACAGAGGAATGGAGCAGCTTTCGAGATGAGCCACAGGAAGAATAACCTTGAAGAGCAGCTGGGTATGCAGAGAAAGGAGCCAGGGGCCTGGAGGCTGAGAAGCCAGGGTTCTAGTCACACCCGTGTCACTAATTAAATGTGTGACATTTGGCAAAATGGCTCACTCCTCTGAGCCATTTATTTACTTTTAATCATTGACCTTCACATTTAATTTTCTAACCCTTTAATTTATATAGTTAGTTTTATGTACTTTTCATTTTATGGTACATTTATTGGTGTTAATTTTGTTATATCAGCTTTTAAATATTCTATTATCCCTGAACAAACTGAGTCATGAGGTGGGAGGAAGAGGGCACGGTGGGGGGGCGGGGAACAGTACGCTGATCGGTTCTTGACCTTGAGCTGAACACACATTTAAAGAGGTGGGAACACCCTGCGACTCCCGCTGGGGGCGGGCTCTGTTGCAGCACTCTGATGCTGATGTGGCAGGCGGCCGGCTCTGAGACCAGCATGGCCCTCCCCGTGCTGACCACCATCCTGTTGATTCTGCGAGGAAAGCCTGGGGAGATGCAGGAGAGCCTGGCAGACAGAAGACGTTTCTCTATCGATGCTACAAACATGATGCCCATGGCGGTAAATCACCAACTCAAGTTTCTTTCCCCTGGGGGCGCTCCCCGACCCAGGCTCAGTTGCACCTCTTTCCACGGCCCAGCTCTCCTGCATGCATTCATTCACGCCTTCCTTCATCCAGCACATATTTATTGAGGGCCTACTCTGTGCCACCACCTGTTCATGAAGACTACATTCTGGTGAGAGACACAGACAATGAACCTAAAAAATGTGCCAGGGGTCAGATGAGAGCAAGCTGAGAAGAGATACAAAGTACTGGGACAAAGAGAAAAAGGGACCGGAGGGTCTGGGGAAGTCAGTCAGAGCGGGCCACTCAGCTGAGATGACATCTAATCAGAGGCCTCAAAAAGGGGAGGGAGTGAAGCTTGCACGTGTCTGCACAACAGGGTTCCCGACAGAGAAGGGCTAACACCCGGTAGTGACGGGCACTCGCCTGGCGCATCACTAAACATGAGGATGGTCAGAACAGGACTGAGCAAGGGTGACCGTGCAGGAGATGGTATCAGAGGCAGCCACCAGCTAAGCACACTTGTTCTTGCAGGCAGGTAAAGGCCTAATCTCACATGTGTCCATCACTGTCTGTCTCCTGAGGACCAACACTGCCATTCCTGGGGTAAATTCAAATCTTACAGAGATGTAGAAAAAAAAACGAGGAAAAAATGTTGTAAAGCAACCTCACGTTTGCTCTACAAATGTGAGGTGGGGACATGAGTCTCTCTGATGTGGACAGACGGTCAGTGGACCCCACAAAGCGTTAGGGACCTGGCCTGCCTCCCTCCATATCTGCCCTGAATCGTTGAAGCACAGAGAGGGCCTGGCGAGGCACAGAATAGTCTTCGTGGTGACAGATGAAGGGGGCCTTGGATGCATGCCCCCCTGGGGGAGGAGCTTGTTTCCTGCTGGCCTGGCAGCACCGGGGGTGGTGCGTGCATTGCGGGTAGTGCTTTGGGGGCTCACGGCCATGTACTGCTTGGCATGTTCCAGGCTCAACAGACTTAGCAGCTCCTACTGGAGAAAGGAACGCACACACAGGCTTCAGGCTTCCTTGTAGGAGGTGGAAGTGGGGTACAGAGTCCCCCGCACCCCCTCCCTGGCACCGAGAGGGCTCAGAGGGAGACAAGACAGTCTTGACCCTCTTCCTTCCCCTTGCAGGCGTCCCAGGCCCTGTGCACACTGCTGCCTGTCCCCTCCTACAAGAAGGCGGTGGCCCAGTTCTTTCCTCAACTCTTGATGGCCCTCCTGTTTCAAATCTTCTACACCTGCAACATGAAACTGGTGATGGAGAACAAACTCTTGTGAGCTGGCTGCTTCTATGCCCTCGGGTTGAAGCGGAGGCTGGATAATCAGTCCCCTGGGCAGTGCATTCGTTTATGACTGTTCTCCCTCCTCGGAAGGGTGGGACGCCTTCCACGTAGTAACTACCATGGTACCTAGAAGTCAGCCAGGACTTTTGCTAAGGGTGGGTGCTGTGTAGACAGAACCACCCCACAGAGCAGAGCTTAGACCCGCCACGAAGAGAGGCCACCGCAGGGAACGTCTGCAGGAAGCGTGTGCAGGGAGCGGCAGGAGACCCAGCTCTCTCTGTAAGAAAGCATGCCCCACAGTGCTCTGGGGCGTGAGGGCTTGTGATACCAGGCATTCATTCTGCCCACATCCGGTGAGCTTCAGCTCTTCCCTTTCACCCAGGAGAGCACAGTTAGCTCTGCTGCTGTCTAGGAAAATCTGCACCCACCTGTCTGTTTGCCTTCATCCAGCTCCTAGGCCAGGTGGGACTCGAAAGTACAGTCAGTCCCATTCAAGTATTTTATCAGCTCTCAGTCTTTCAGGCAGACATACCAAGTAAATGAGAATATGTGCTATTGATTTAAAGCATCCCAGGAAGCAAATCGGCACCTTGAGTAAGTTGTCACATCATTTAACACTTTTTGCTAATGAGCTGTTAAGAACTGAATAAACAGGGTCAATCCTAGGCTGTATGTGTTGCAGTCCCAGCTGTAGCCTGCACCCCAGATACCATTACTCAGGAAACAGGAAGAGTGTTTAACGGTCTCCTTCCTCTCCAATACCCCCTTTTCCCAAACCAGCATCCTGTGCAGGATGGAAAGGAAGGGCAGGTCCCATGTGCATAGTTATGTGAAGGCCACAGTCAGCCTGTGACTCTGCTCTCCTCTGGGCCCTAGCTTTGCCCGGGACGCCCTGCGAGTTCTGCTGAATTGCTCTAGGCTGCAAGAGGTGGACACTGCTCTGAACAGAAAAAATTTCTGGGACCAGATCTCCCAAGTGCTATTTCACCACCACGGGGTCTACCTCATTGCCACGTAAGAATGAGCTCTGTCTGTGTGGGACCTGGGTCTCTGTCCCTACCTTCTCTGTCTTTAGTGAAGCCACGTGGGAGCACAGCCCACACCCACTCGGACTTCCCACTCCCACCCCCATGACCTGTATTGCCATGTGACTTCTACTTCCTCGCTGATTTTGAGTAGTGTGTGCTTTGGGAACGTCTTCCCTTCCCTGGCCCTTGTGCCTGGTGGTACAGATGCCCAGCCCCCTATACCTCTCCACGGCACAGGCTCCTCCTCCCGAGGTGGACAACTAGAGTGGAATCTGATTTTTTCTTTCCTCCATGGTTCGCTATAGGCATCAGAGGAATACATTTGGGAAAGGATAATGAAAGAGGACTTTTGTTTTCTTGTCCCCCAACAGTTTCTTTCCCCCTGGTTAGCCTGTACATAGCAAGCTTCTGATTCTAGGGATCAGATTTGCTGATCAAGAATCAAGATGCATGACAACATGATAGACCATGTGAAGTCGTGACTGACCCAGAAAGTCTGGTCCAAATGGGCTCTGGGCTCCCAGTGCTTTGAAAACAGCATCTTATTTGCATGTAGATTTTGGGAACACATCTTGTTTTGTAAAAGTGTAGTTCACCTGCACCCTCCAATGGTCCCTAGTTAAGTAACTCTATATCCTTAGTAATTTTGGATCTTCATACTCAAAGTGGGGTCCACAGACCAGCAGCTACTGCAACACCCAAGAATTCAAAGTACAGAATCGCATGGCCCACGGAGACCTACTGAATCAGAATCTGCTTTATAGCAAGATTTCCTGGGTGATCAGCACACACATTAAAGCTCCAGAAACACTGGTTCAGAGCACCAACCTGGGGTCTTCAAACGGAATCCGTGCCACATGCTCCTTCCCAATCCTGCCACTGCCGATCCGACCCCGGTGTGTCAGGACAGCCGTGAGCCTGACCAGTGCCTGGGTGGGTTACGGAGAATGGCTTGGAGAATCAGGGTTCACCACCTGCTCTCCAGAGTAACCCAGGATAGCACCAAACTCTCTCCTTCCTTATTTCATTTAAAGGGAGGGCTTGGTCTACAACAGCAAAGGTGACCTGTGCCATCTGGAACTGCCAAGATCCTTATTTTCTCTCCCTTTGGTCTGGTACTAATGGGAGGTTGTGGCAATACAGGACATTCTGTTCTGTGGCACAGGACAGTAGACAGGAAAGAGCAGTGACATTAGAAGATGTTGTCAGTGACCCTGGTATATATAAGGGGAACCAAAAAAACCCAGAATTATGTTCTGTAGGGCAGGCCCCTTGTAGCACAGGCTTCCCCACTAGGTGAGTGTTCTAGGAACCCATCAGTGAACCAGTTGATGTTGCTATGAAAGGCTGCACTTGGCTTCAGTGAAATTTCTTTGAAGGCTCTTTCAATGCATTTGCCCATTTCATGATGGGTGATTTAAGAGCACAGCTGACCACACCATGCTGAGTGCTCATCAGTTTTGACCAAAAACAGCCTAACCCCCATACCCCACTCTCCCTATCCACCCAGGCTCTCCCCGAGTGACTTTTTCTTGTTTCCTTGATGAGAAAGTCCTTAAAGGGAAACATTTTGCCCACGTGGAAGAGGTAAAACATGAAAAGTCATCAAAATTGTCAAGTCCAAAAACTGTTCTAAGCAGTGGAAAAATCATCTCGATCGGTGTATTGCATCAAATGGACAGTACTTTGAAGGTGACTGAAGTTTAAATGTGTAAGAATACACAATTTTTATAAATAAATTCCATTTGGGGGTTCCCCCCCCCAAATACTTCGGCCCAGCCTGTGTAGAATGTATACTGGGGCTGCCGTTTACCTTGGATTAAGGAATATTAGAGAATTTCTTTCCTGGTATCTGGGTGGTACAAAATGTAAGGATAATAATTCCCTCTTTACTGCCATTAGAATTTGCCGACAGTGAAAGCGTTCTCATCTCCTCTGCTAATTCAGCGCCTTCTCCTCCTTTCCAGGACCCTTGCTGAACATAACTTTCCACAGTTTCCAGAGACCCTGCATTACCTGTACAAGCTCTCAGTGGAAGGCCCTAGGAGATCAGAGGACAGCGTGATCACAGTCATCTTCCTCACTGAAGTGAGTTTTAATAGGAGTCTGTGAACTGCGGAGCTCTCACTCCCTTTTCTTATGCAAACGTACCTGACACTGACCTTGTACCTTCCTCTCTGAATGTTTATTCCACCACGAGTTAAAACAACAACAGGCAGCTGAGGTTCAAGGGTAGGGTGGAAACAGAGCTGGGTTACGGACAGTTGAACCCTCAGCCTTTCAGAATTGGCTTTTATCGCCCCAGTTACTTTTGAAATACCACTTCATATATCTCTGCACGCTTGTTAAAGTATATCGTGGGATAATCAAGTTTACTAAAGACAGTACGTAGCATCTGGGATCTAAATGATACTTCGGGCTGTCTGGGAGAAAAAAAGAAGGGATGGGCCAAATAACTGGGTGAAATAAAGACTAGAATTCCATTACTTTGTATATGAATATTACATCATCTGTTGTAATGCCATACTAGAGTCAAGCAATTTGAGGAAATCCTTTTTGATCTAACTTTAGTTTTTACTAAATAATTATCTAAGCAAGTATTGTTTAATTGATAAGCATAAAGTTCACTACTCACTGGTGATACTATCTTTATTAATTTTATTATTAACTTCATACACATACCCACATACTAGGGTCTGTCTCAGGTTAATTGTGAAGTTCCATTTAATTTCATTCTTGTGGGAAGCACCACACTGTTGAAATATGGCCATTTGCAAGTAACTTTGAATATCTAGCAAAGTAACTTCTCCTCAACTCTTTTCTCTTTTCTTTTTTTAAGTATATTTTATTGATTATGCTATTACAGTTGTCCCATTTTCTCCCCTTTACTCCCCTCTACCCCGCACACCCCCTCCCACCCACATTCCCTTCTTAGTTCATGTCCATGTGTCATACATATAAATTATTTGGCTTCTACATTTCTCATACTATTCTTACCTTCCCCCCATCTATTTTCTACCTACCGTCTATGCTACTTATTCTCTGTACCTTTTCCCCCTATCTCCTCCTCCCACTCACCTGTTGATAACCCTCCATGTGATCTCCATTTCTGTGGTTCTGTTCCTGTTTTAGTTGTTTGCTTAGTTTGTTTTTATTTTTGTTTTAGATATGGTTGTTAATAATTGTGAGTTTGCTGTCATTTTACTGTACATGTTTTTGATCTTCTTTTTCTTAAATAAGTCCCTTTAACATTTCATATAATAAGGGCTTGGTGATGATGAACTCCTTTAACTTGACCTCATCTGAGAAGCACTTTATCTGCCCTTCCATTCTAAATGAAAGCTTTGCTGGATAGAGCAATCTTGGATGTAGGTCCTTGCCTTTCATGACTTGGAATACTTCTTTCCAGCCCCTTCTTGCCCGTAAGGTCTCTTCTGAGAAATCAGCTGACAGTCTGATGGGAACTCCTTTGTAGGTGACTGTCTCCTTTTCTCTTGTTGCTTCTAGGATTCTCTCCTTCATTTTAATCTTGGGTATTGTAATTATGATGTGCCTCAATGTGTTCCTCCTTGGGTCCAACTTCTTTGAAACTCTCTGAACTTCCTGGACTTCTTGGAAATCTATTTCCCTTGCCAGATTGGGGAAGTTCTCCTTTATTATTTGTTCAAATAACTTTTCTACTTATTGCTCTTCCTCTTCTCCTTCTGGCACCCCTATAATTCAGATGTTGGAATACTTAAAGATGTCCTAGAGGTTCCTAAGCCTCCCCTCATTTTTTTGAATTCTTGTTTCTTCATTCTTTTCTTTTAAAATTTTTATTTATTTTTAGAGAGGGGAAGGGAGGGAGACAGAGGGGGAGAGAAACATCGATGTGTGGTTGCCTTTCACATGGCCCCCACTGGGGACCTGGCCTGCAACCCAGGCATGTGCCCTGACTGCCAATCGAACCTGCAACCCTCTGGTTCGCAGGCCTGCACTCAATCCACTAAGCTGTACCAGCCAGGCTCTTCATTCTTTTCTTTTTGGTTATTTCTTTCTTCCTTCTGGTCCACTCCATTGATTTGAGTCATTTCCTTCCCATCATTATTGGTTCCCTATACATTTTCCTTTATTTCACTAATCATAGCCTTCATTTTTTCATCTAATTTGTGACCAAATTCAACCAATTCTGTGAGTATCCTGATCACCAGTGCTTTGAACTGTGCATCTGATAGGTTGGCTATCTCTTCAGCGCTTAGTTATATTTGCTGTGGAGCTTTGATCTGTTCTTTTGTTTGGGCCATTTTTTTATGTCTTGATGCACCTGTTATGTAGTGAGGGGCGGAGTCTTAGGGGTTCACCAGGGAAGGGCTACCCAATTGCTGGGTTGTGATGCTGTATGTGGGGAAGGTGTCTGAGAGGGAACAATGGCATTTACTCCACTCTCTGCCAGATTTCAGTCACTTCTCCCACTTCCCACAAGCAAACTGGGCCCTTCTGGTGCTGATTCCCATGTGGGTGGGTTTGTGCATGTCCTAGGACCCTGCAGGTGTCTCAATGAACTCTCCTGTGAGTCTGGGAGCTTCTCCCAGCACCTTAACCCCCACGGGTGTTTTCAGTTGGTGTTTTGAGGCTTTATTTCCCCTTCCTGGGACCCTGAGTTGAGCGGTCTGTCTCACTCCCCAGTTTCACCTGGTTTGTATGCGTACGAATGTGGGACCGCCGGGATTGCCAGCCGCCTTGCGTGCTGCGCCCCACTCCACAATCTGCCGCCTCGCTGGGTCCACCAGCTGCCACCCTGCACACCCAGGTCCGCCAGCCACCGCTTTGCTGCAAGCCCTCTCCACACTGGCTGCCCCTTCCTACCTGTCTGGTCTGGATGAATGTATCTTTTTTAACTCCTTGCTTGTCAGACTTCCATACAGTTTGATTTTCTGTCAGTTCTGGTTTTTTGTTTTTAAATCGTTGTTGTCCTTCTTTTGATTGTGCGAGGAGGTACAGTGTGTCTACCTATGCCTCTATCTTGGCCAGAAGTAGCCAACTCTTCTTTTCAAAATTTCTTTTGTTCTTCCTATATATTTGTTCTTCTAGTTACAGTTTAAAAGAACTTTGCCAAGTTTAAAGGGAAAAAAGCTTTTGCTGAAATTTCTACTTTAGTTACATTAATGTTATGAGCTTCTTAGGACTATTTGATATGTTTATATTTTCATTTTTATTTTTTACTCAATATTTTGTCATTTCCATATACATTTTACATATTAATTTTAAAATTACTAAGTAGCTGATATTTCAGATGGTTACTGTGAGTGTGGCCTTTACATTCAGATGTTCAAGTTTATGGTTTCTGAATGTTCAGGAAAATTAAGCTATTATCTTGAATTCAGCTAGCTTCCTGTGCTCTTATATAAATTCTAACAATACTTTAGTTGATTCTCTTGAGTTTTCTAGCTGTATGACCCTAAAGTGTGGAAAATGAGAATAATATTGTTCCCCTCTCTAAGTCATTATGTTTATTTTCCTGAACCATGTGCCCTCACCTTGTCCCTCACTGAAGTGCCATTTGGTGAATACTCTGATCTCTCCTCTGCCCACTTAGTACTATTATAATCTTAGTGTTTTTCCCAATAAATTATGTTATTCTCTCTCTCTTTTTCTCCTTCTCAATGCAGATTTTTTAAGTATATCAAGTTAACTGAGGAACCCAGTGCTTTGACTATGCATCCTTAGCGAGATACTTTTTAAAGACAAAAATCTTTTTTAAAATACTCACTTTTACTCAGGAGTCTTATTAATATTGTGCGTTGAGATCATAATTTTAAAACTGAGGCATGAATTACAAAGCAGAAAGCCAGTATCTACATATATGAATGTTATTAGGCACCAGGGTTGTCCAGGTAAGAGAAAGATGAGGCAATATAAAACTACAAGAAATTCATATAAACTGTATTACATTATATTTGAATTGAATATATCAACACTGTCAAAGTGAACTTATGACTAAAAAAAAAAGTATCTCCTCGTTTAAGTAAGGGCCCAGAAGACATGATATGCCGATAACAATGAGTACACTCTAGCACCCTTTTCTCATAGTTTCTCAATAGCATTCTTCACTAAAATGAAACGTGTCCCCATAAAGAAATGAGTAATTACAGGGGCAAGGGAAACCTAAGATGAGCCTGGGATATCTAACTTTTCTACAAGCAAAGAAGTGCAAGAAGGCAGATGGGCCATGTCAAAAGGACACACATGTTGGCTTGCAGGGGCTCCTACTGGCCAAATTTGAGCATCAAAAGAACTAGTAACATCAAATAATTGTAATATGTTGAAAAAATTTAGTGCATGGATCCTTGTTACTACTTAAATTTGGAAAGCTGGAAGAGAGAGGGATGCCAGCCAGTAAATGTAGAAAGAAGGCTAGAAGAAGAAAAACACCCACCATTTTGCAAGTCCCAATGTAATAAATGAATGAAGAAAAATCATTAATAGTTTTAAAACCATTAAGTGAAAAGCTGCTGAAGAACACGATACTCACATGGTTCCACAGTATCGCCCCACAGATCAGCGACTAATCGTAAAAGAAAAATGTGTCTGTACCATTTGCTGTGTGCTAACATGCACACAGGACACATATGGGAACATGCTGAAGTGCTGGGAGCTGTAGTGGGACCTGAGTTCCAGTCTCACTGACAATATCTTCATTTTGATGCCTCTAGCAGAGACTGCGCACTAGCCTTTATTCTGAAAACATATTAGCTGTTTTCTTTCAGCTTCTGAATAAATTCTTCAAGGACCCATTCCCAGAAGAATTTCTGGCTCTCTTCAGGAACTGGATCAGCGACTCTAACCCCACAGTGAGCAAACTGAGCCTGCAGAAGATCGCCAGCATGGCGCCCGTCATCAACCAGGTGCGTGGCCGTGTGGCCTGTGTCTGCCATCACCGCCCACATCACAGTCTCAGACTTGATGTTGCTCAACATCCTTGCTGAGGTTTTATCAACAAGGGGTTGGGGTTGACCGGAAGGAATGTGTTAAGTCAGTTCTGTCACTTTATCACCTAATTATATTTTTCCCAGACAATCATGCGTGGCATGCATAATTTATCAGCATCGCCCTACATGCACACCCTTCTTACAGTCCAACCACACACATAAGTTGGTTTCCCCTCCAACACACACGTGCACGCATGTTAATACCATCCCTGAGCACTCGTGCCGGCTTCTCCTTCCACTCACAACACTCTCCTCCCTCACCCATACATTGTCGCATTTCTCTCCTTGTTCAAAGATCAGTTCAAATCAAATTCCACCGACTGCTTGGATCTCTAGCAGCCTCATCCCTCCCAGAGCCGCACCAGCTCTGGGCGCTCACTTACGTAACATTTCACAACAGTGCTGCTCCACACACAATTCTGAACCAGCTGCACCAGTATCTCCCGGAAACTGGTAAGAAATGCAAATTGTCAGGCTCTACTTCAGGCCTGTGGAATCAGGAATCCTGGGGTGGGGCTGTGTTTTCAAAAGTCCTCCCAGGGGTTCTAACACAGGTTAAACCTCAGAACCTCTGTCTTACATTGGTTCCTGCCACGTCACATTGCTCTGTCTTACCTTCCAGGAGGGCTGAACCTAAGTGCACTTCTATGTTCCATAATTCCCTTGTACATTTCAAAGTACTTGGTACAGCACTGAGAGTTAGCTGTCCTATCAATCATTATTATTTAATATGTTAATAACAAATCCTTGTTTCTCTATTAAGCCTAATTTCTGACAACTGAAAGCTAGGCAGGGGGCACCTATTTTGCATTTAGAATGAAATGAGCCATGGTCTATTTGCTTCAAATAAATCATGCAAGTCAATGTACATTCTTTTCGTAAGTGGAAAGTTACTTATTGCCTTGTCTAGCACTCTTCCCAGTGTATTAAGCACTGAAGGGACATTCTGGGTCAAGGTTATATAAGACAGAAAGGCAGAATTACTGGACTGAGGTTGCACATACTGTCTGCGGTAAAGACTCAACTTTCCTGCCAGATATGAGTGGTCTCTGGCTATTATTTTAGCAAATAGTATTTATTTCTTTTACCTTTCTGTCTAGTCCTTCTTTTCCTCCTCCAATATCTCATTCTTGTTTTGTCTTGCCTTAAATTCTGTTTGTCTCTGGTCTGCAGCTTATCCCCATGACCCGGCTCAGTACCTGAGCAGCTCGCACTTCCAGAGAGGTGACTGCCATCCCCTAGTTCAGAGTGCGTGCTGCCAGCAGTGTGCTAGCACACATCACAGTCGCCTCACCAGAAATCAGACCAGTTTCCTGGGTGTGAATACTCCCGCCACGGCTGACTTCAAGCTGTCTTAGGGACATCAGTAAAGATGGAGGTGGGAATAAGTCCACTTCAGCTCACCATGCAGACATAATGCACATAAATAACCTCAAGGAAGTATAGAGAAAATGTAGTAAACAGGAAGTGATACATTTCGAGTATTTATAGCTATTGTTTTTTTAATAAAAGATTTTATTTATTTATTTTTAGAGAGGGGAAGGGAAGGAAGAAGAAATAGAGGGAGAGAAACATCAATGTGTGAGCCTCTTGAGCACCCCCCACTGGGGACCTGGCCTGCAACCCAGCCATGTGCTCTAGACAGGGAATCGAACCAGCAACCCTTTGGTTCACAAGCTGGCACTCAGTCCACTGAGCCACACCAGGCAGGGCATAGCTATTGTTTTTATTTATTTCTAAATTTACAAAATTTAACTTTTTAGTAGCAACTTTTATCTAAAAGTCAGCCTGCCAAATCCCCGCCAGCGCCCCCCGCGAGCCAACTCCAGCACACCTCCGCGTGCCACCCGAGTCAGAAGTGTGTGAGCCAAATGCTCGCACAAGTCTCCTTCTCGTTCCCAAATCCCACCATTTCCCTCCTTTCATATCCAGGTAGGAAATGTCTGCAGCTTATTATTATCCATCCTGGATGCCTTCCTCTCCAAAGACCAGACTATTATCATCCGGGCCCTGCTCACCCTTCGGAGACTCTTAAACAAACTGGACAAGGTGACCTACTCCTCTCTGTGCACCCAAATTGCTTCCAGCTACTGTCCACTGATGGACCATGTGAGTGGCACAGCTGGGCAGATGGGATCAGTAGGTGTGATGGGTGAGCTGAAGCTCCAGCTCTGAATAAGTGACCAGAAGACAGTCATTTTGTGCAGAGCCACCATTTCTTTTTGAGGTAACATTAGTCAGGAAGTACTGTGAGAACCAGGAAAAGTCTCCCCATAAGAAAGCAGAATCGAAGAACAGCTTCTGTCCTTGGATGAAAGAGAAATTGTATCTCAGTGGTCATATACTGGTTAACCCTGAGTCTAGACTTCCTGAGTTCAAATCCTGTTCTGTCTCTTGTTTGCTGTGGAGTCTTAAGCAGGTGTTTCAGTCTCTCACCTGTAAAATACAGAGGGCAGCCGGGGTCTTGTGGGGACTAGAGATGATGTGTAACGCCCCACATGGGTTTGTTATCATCATATAAAACTTTTAATTAAAAAGTATCTCATCAGAAACTTGCGTGTTTTAAAAATTCTCATTTTGTATAGTAAATGTGTTCCAAGCAAGTTGGATGATAGTAATTTATTTTAATAAACAAGAATAGTTTGGTATGCCATGGGCAATCTATTTTTTAAAGATTTTTATCATTGTAATGAGTTATTTGTGAACCAGAGAATTATTTCATAGAAAATTACCTTGCAAAAATTTGTAAGTTCTTCATTACTCAATTCCAGTGAAAAAGAGCACAATATTATTAAACTCCAGAAATAAAAGATTTAGTGGCAAAAATTATTTTTACAAGGACAAAAATGATAATAATAGTGGCTAAAATGTATTGAGAATTTACTATGTACCAGCTATTATTCTAAGGAATTTACATGTATTATCTCACATAATCTCTAAACAAACTCTGTTACTATTATCCAGGTTACATACAAGGAAACTGAGGCAAAGAAAAGTGAACTTCTAGCCAAGTTCACACAGCTAATAAGTAGTTAAAATGACTATGTAAAATATTATTTTCAAAGTGAAATCACTTGAAAGAAAAACTAAATAAATTATCAAGCCAAAAAAGAAGGAAAATTAAAGAGAATGGAAAGTTGTCAGGTATCAATTTACCCTAAGCCATTCCTTGAAGGCAGAGAATTTGAAAAATATCAGGATATCAATGAACCTATGGTACTGTGCCTTTCCATATTAAAAGTAAAAAAAAAAAAAAAAAACCCCACCGTGATCAAGCTCATTCAACCTACGGGAGACAAAACTGGCATTTCAATGGGTACACGAGCTCCCCAGAGCTCTTCCCACTGGTCTATACACACTGCCTTTCCATGGTCAGCATGCCTTCCTGTAGTCCAGGGACGCAAACAGGTGACCCACGGATGAATGCAACCAGCAGGTGTGTTAAGTTTCGCCCTCAAACAGAGTGTGGTTGATATTTGTACACTGAGGAACTGTTCACAAACATCTGATTTGTGAAGGAAATGGCAGCAGAGCTGGGAGCACTGAGCCCTACAACCCACCTGGCAACAGTCTGCAGGACCTGGGTGTCCTCTCTGAGGAACGCCAGGGCTCTCTCCTGTCTCCGTCTCCATCCTCTCCCTGTGCTCCTTTAAGGTCACTCACTGTATTCTACTGCATCCCTGTCCAGCCCATGTGACATATGATTTAATCACAGCTCTTGCAAGTTTAGACTTTGATACCCATTAGTGACCCCTCGGAAGGAACATATGAAACCACATTAGCCATTTGTCTTTCATTGGGAACATAGCTGATCAGTTTCTGAGAACAGAAAGGAAGAGATATAAAATGAAATCATAAACATTTCTTAAAAGCTGGAAGGTAGTGTTGTATTCTTCACAAATTGACCTCTTCCCCTGACCTGCAGGTTTTCTGTTCTGGAATCTTTGTGATCTGATCACCTATCCACAGCTGGCCTGTGCAGGCCCTGGGAGCCTGGCTCTGTGTTGGTGCCCCGAGTTCCCACTGGTGTTCATTGCGGCTTGGCGCGGGCCTCCAGCATCTGACTATTGCTCCGTTATTCTGAGTCCTTTATAGACATCACCTCCAAGTTAAATAGACTTCTGTTTTTAAGACATTATTAAAGACTGCCTTCCTAAATTTAAGAAACTTACTGTTCACAGGGGATTTTTTTTTTATGCAATCTGAATTTTGGTAAGCCAATCTTGTTTAAAATCAAACCAAGAGCTGACTACTTAGACCCCAGGGGAAGCTTTTCTAAAAATAACATAATTTCTTATGTATGTATGTATATGTAATAGATACCTATGTAGTATGTATACACATATAAATGTATATAAACATATATGTCACACTGTTTGAAGAAAGAAGCCCTTGCCCTGGCTGGTGTGGCTCAGTGGATTGAGTACCGGCCTACACAGCAACGGGTCTCTGGTTCAATTTCCAGTGAGGGCACGTGCCTGGGTAGAGGGCCAGGCCTCCAATAGGAGGGGCGCGCAAGCGGTAACCACACACTGATGTTCCTCTCCCTGTCTTTCTCTCTCCTTTCCCTTCTCTCTAAAAATAAATAAATAAATAAATAAATAAATAAATAAATAAATAAATAAATAAATAAATTTTATATTTTATTTATTTATCTTTTAGAGGGGAAGGGAAGGAAAGAGGGAGAGAATATCAATGTATGGTTGCCTCTCGTGCGTCCCCTGCTGGGAACTGGCCTGCAACCCAGGCATGTGCCCTGACTGGGAATTGAACCACAATCCTTTGGTTCGCAGGCCAACGCTCAATCCACTGAGCTACACCAGCTAGGGCTCAGTAAAATCTTTTTAAAATATTAAATTAAAAAAAAAACAGAAGCCCTAGAATTATCCTCAACTGAGGCTTTTCTGTGCACAAATTCCAGAGCGATGGAGGTATTCGGAGCATGGCCATCCGACACTTTGGCGAACTGGTCAGGGACATGAGTCAGTACTGGTGGATGCTGAACGATGCGGTGTTCAGGGCCCTGGTGCCTCTGATCCTGTTTCTGGAGGATACAGAGACAAGAGTCACCACAGTAAGTACTGCCATCTTGCTTTTCTTAGTTTGGCAGAGACGCGCCATGTTTTATGTGACACCAGACAAAGACACCCTCACTGACTGTTTCCTGCTTCACAGGCATGTAAACATACATTGGCAATCTGCGCCTCAGAGTTGCGCTGGTCAGCGTCGCGTCTGCTCCTGGACCAATGCTACAGTTTTGAGCTGGTTGTCCTCAGCATCTGCAATAACCTTGTAAGTGGCCCTTTAGGGTTTCCTACCAAACGTTATCAAACAAACATTAAAGGACCTCCTGAACCATGGGAAGGGTGGTGGGAGCAGGGATCGTAACAGCTAGGGCTTGAAACCGGAGAAAATGCTCATTTTCCCCGTCCTGGGCCTCGACATGACCCTCTAGCTGACCTCCCTCCTACCCACCTCCATGGAGCTCTGGATGGATAGGAAGGTAGAAACAGCATTTGACGAACAAAATTCGTGATTATCTGGTCACTGCCTAATGGGTGGGCCCTCTGAACCCCAGCACGAACTGCAGTGACAGGTGGAAAAACACTAACCAGAGGTGGGAAGACCAGGCTGGGTTGGGAATCCTATCACAAACAGAAGAACACTGGCAAACAGAACAGTCAAGTTCATGCACAGAGACCTCAAGTTTTAAACTGGACCTCATTTGGTATAAGCAACCAAGTTCTTTTCTCTGGACGCCTGGCTGAAAGGGGGCAAATGTACTTTTTCAATAACGGAGTGTTTTCCCCCGCTTTCTATCCGCAGTTTACGTCTCACGGGAGCTACACTGTGGAGCTGCTCTCTGACGCGTTGAGGTTCCTGAGGAACTCCAAAGTGTACCTGAGGAGGGCGTCAGTGATTCTCATAGGTAAATACAATTCAATTCGCACTGCCTGGCATGCCTTAAGAGGTACAGAGAGAAGTATTCCTTAAAAAAAACATGTAAATCATTTTTGTGGATGATGGACAGCACCCATCCATGGTGACATCTATGATGAATAGAGGTCACTACGTGTGATCAGAATGAAGTTCTATTTTATACCATGCAGCGAGTATAGCTGTGTGATTAAATTATTATATGAAGCATATTTAACAAGGATGGTTTCAGGATCTAACACGATAGCATGCCACTGCTCATTACCCCCTTTCACTGCTTAAAAATCACTACCCAAAGAATAAGAATGAAGTAATATCTAAAAATCCAAACATCACCTTCAGCAAAATTGGGGCATCTGTAGCCACAACTATAACAGATGATAAAGAGCTATTGAATCTGGTAAAGTAAAGAAAAAAATTTTATTTAAACATAGGGTTCAGAGTAGTGAAGGAAGATTCTAAGAGAAGACAACTAAATCAAGTTTTCAAACGTGGATGAACATGACCAGTTTTTTTCCCACTAGATTCTCATCATGAAGGTCAAAATTGATAATCCTTTATTTGGAATGACAGGAAGTAAGTTCCCAACTTGGTAATGGGATTTTCACTTGACCTTGTTTATTAGCCCCTAGCAGGGACGAGCATTGACGAGATGCACAGTCAGTTCTTGTAGAGAAGAGGCATCCAGGCTGTCGGACTGGAAGGCAATCGAAATTACCATCAGCACTAGCACTCATGCCCTATGCTAACAGGAGAAGATAGAGGGACACACATATACACACACACACAGAGAACCCCATGTCGCAAGACTTGATTTCAAACCAGAAGTGTCCTGCTACTCTGAATTCTACCCTGGTACTTTCCACAAGCCATCCTCTGTATAAAACTATTGCAAGATCCAAAAATAAGTACTCTATTTAAAAACAAAGAAATGACATTATCTTTCTAAAGAGGTATTTCTAGGGAGAAAGGAGAAGAGAAAAATAAATTTTATAGTGTTTCTACAGAGCAGATGAAAATCATGGATAAAAATATCCTTGAATCAAAACCTCTTTGAAATAAAGATCTAAAGTTTAGAGACAAGTGCACAGTCCATACATAATGGGTAGTAGGCGCACATGAAGAATAAGCTTTCAAAGGATGGGGGCAGGTGTCAGAAAAGACATATAACCACCCCACACACACACACACACACAAAAATGCAATGCAACCAGCAGAAGAAAAAATATACGCATATATTGTGGATAACCAGGAAGGGACAAAGGAGTACAAGGTTGAGAAATGCTAGCAAAATGAAATGGTCAGCCAGAGAAGGCAGACACAAAAGAACGTGCTCTGAAGGACAGAGGAGCCAACCGGGAAGGAGCATGAGGAAGATCTCCGGGATGCTAGTCACATCCTGTTTAGTGACCTGGGCGGTCGCAGAAGTGTTCACCTGTGTTCATTCGTTGACTTGTGCATGGTTATAAACATGTATACTTTTCAGTAGTTTTATTAAGTGCATAAGTATGTGAGAGCGCTCAAAGAGGACACAAGGGTCATCTAGAGATGCTTCACTTTGAAGAAGGCAAGGAGGGTAGCAAGGGAACACCAGAGAAAGTATCTTCCTAATGTGTTGTGGGGAATTATTTTGTGCACAGGATACTTGACAACGCTGGGTGGCCATTTACTGCTCAGAGATGACATTGAGGTCATACTTGAGGGTAAGTATGGAAGGTAGGGTGAAATTATGCACAGGTCTAAGTATATTTACTATGTGTGGTTCTACTTGAATGAGTTCTATAACAATATGGGTGCTGGGGGGTGGGAGAAGGGTGGGGTTAGGGGAGAATCAGTGGGAGAACTGGGTTAAGGGGCATCCTCTTTTCCTTTTTATTCTTTCTCTCTCTCTCGCTTCTCCTTACCCTCTCTTAGGAACACCACAGAGAGTTGAGAACTCACTCATTCATCCAACAGATATTTTTTCCAGTGCTAGTCTAGCTACTGGGGATATAGCGGCAAACAAAACAAAGTCCCTGCCCTCAGAGAACTTGAGTTTTAGGAGGGAGCAATGTCCACATGCACCAGAGGGACTTAAAGAAGAGCATAGTTTATTCCATCCAAATGTTGGATCTTGGGCATCTCTCTCTCAGCCTCTAATTTCCCACAAGGATTAGAGTAACAAACATGAAAGGTAGAATAGTTTTAGAGTTTCAGCAAAATTGAGTGGAATGCACAGAGATTTCTCACATACTTCCTGCCCCCACCCATGTGCAGCCCCCCATTATCAACATCCCCAACCACATGGTATATTTGTTACAACTAATGCACCTACACTAACACATCATTAGCTTCCTTCTTTTTTCATTCTTGTATTCACTAGTTTATTCAATACATATTTATTGACTGCCTGCTAAATTCTCTGTCTCTCAAAACCCTTTTCTTCTTTCTTCCTCCTGCTCCTTTTCCTCTTTTTTCTAAAAGTGCACCTCTTTTACTCTATTTCTTTTTTTAAGACTTTATTTATTTTTAGAGTGAGGGGAACAGAGGGAGAGAGAGAAGGAGGGAGCGAGACATCAGTGTGTGCTTGTTAAGGGTGCCTTGCATTGCAGGCATCGACACAGTGCTGGACGATGAAGACTCAGAGACCAGGGCCTTGGCAAGTGTCACCCACAAACTTTTAAAGGATGTGGCCCATAAAATGACCTCCTCGGTTATTAAACAAACCTCCCGAAGACTGTTTAACTTTATCTACATCAAGAAACTGAAGCCTCTGTATAATTATAGCTCACCCAACGACGTGGAAAAAAGCCCCACGGAGATGAAAGAAACCAGGAATGCATGAGAACGATGGAAATTTCATGAAAGAATGAGACATTCACCAAGGCACCACTCAGAAGAGCAATGATTTTCCTTTTCCTCTACAGATGCTCGGGGCCATTTATCTGTTCCTCTGTAACTGTCTTCAAATACAGAAATCTGCTGTCTCTCTACATCTAACGGTGATCAGACACCTTAATTCATCAAACCCAATAATAACATCGAAAATCATATAAGCAAAGTGTTTGATGAGAAGCTCTTGGGACTTACTTGAATCAGTAAGCTAGACACTGTGCTAGGTAGGGGAACATGTGGGGAACAAAGACAATGTTGCTGGCCTCTAGGGATGCTGGGTTTGGTTCTTTCTGTCCGTCTCACTGGGATGAATGTTGCCATGAGGAAGTATTCACAAAGGACAAAACAGAACTTGCAGGGGGGCCGGGGGGAACAGGGCACAGGGAAATGTATGCCAGGTGGAAACAATGAGGCAAGGAGAGTGGGGGGGGGGGGCTGCTCACCGGAGAGCCTGTTGCAGATACAAGGGGGTAAGATGAGCATTAGATGTATAAGGGAGATCACTCATACAGTACATAAATGTCTAGTCACTGGGTTGTACACCTGAAACTAATATTATATGTCAACTATAACTTTAAAATTAAAAAATTATTTTAAAAAAGAATGGGGACAGCCGAGACCCGAGGGGGACCCTGTGCTGCTGTGCCGATGGCTTTAAGTTTTTTGAAGTGAAAACTGGACAGTCAATCCCAGCGCCTTCCCATTGCCATCGGGACCCAGTGTCACACGCTGCTCTGGTCTGTAAGAAAGCTGACACACGAATGCTGCTGATGAAAGGGTTTCACTCTCCTCCCACTCCTGCACCCCCCCCCCACACCCCCAAGCATGCGCACATGCTGCTTCAGCCACAGGGCACCTCTCCCAGGGAGAAGAGCGCAGCCTCTTTCCTCTGTCGATGCGGGTGCTGTGACTCTGTCATGGGCCAACTTAGAGTGCATACATGTTCTCACTGCTCTGCAGGCTGCTGCACTGGGGTAGGGCAGCAGCCCCCCACCTTCCCTCAGGTCCCCCCATCAGCTTCTCTGACTTCTGGACCAGGTGGGTTTAGTTCTGCTGACAAAGACACCAGTCTCCTGGGTGACATCCACATCATCCACATCATCAACACTGGAAGCAGGAAGAGACTGACAACCCCAAGCTTGTGGGTTCCACCTTGCCCTTGCTCTCCCCTTGACACCCAGCCTCCCTTCCCAGCCCCGCTGCCTGCCTTGTGGACCTCAAGCTCCCCCACCAGATGTGGAGGCAGCAGCTTTGCAGAGACCACAGAACGGTCTCCCCCTCTGCTGACAGTCAAACCCTGGTGCTGCTGCTCTCATCGAACTCAATGGACAGACCTGAGGCGCCTTCTCCAGGCCCCTTCCAGCAAGGAGGTGGGTGTGGCTCCTGTGGGTTTTTTCCCCTTAACACTCTGTGTTCTTTTCGTTGCATTTATCAGGCTGTAGTGTAATTCCTCATTTACTCCTCTGTCTGCCCCACAAGACTGAAGTTTCTGGAAAGTATATGTTGTACCTTACACTTGGTTGTGTGCTCTGGAACTCACAGTACCTGGCACCTAATATGTGCTCAGTGAAGACTGCCAAATGAACAAAACACTAACAGAACATATTGCCCTCCTACTTTAATAAACACTTTCAGATATTGATGAGCATTACTGAGTATTAAAAATAATGAGAGAATGGATGATTTTAATTTACCCCTTAATTCATATTATTTCACATTATCCTGATGTCCCAGAACTGACTTTTCAAAATCAGGGCAAATTTCCTTTCTCATCTTCTAAACTTAGCTGGATGCTGAACAGTAACCTCCTGGAAGATATCCAATTCCTGCTCCCCAGAATCTGTGAATCTGTCACCTGACATGGGCAAAGCAAGCTCACAGATGCAATTCCATTGAGAACCCTGAGATGGGGAGATTGCCCGGATTACCTGGCTGGGCCCAATGTGATCACAAGGGCCTCTCTACAAGGAGAGTGGGAAGTCAGAGAAAAAAAGCCTCCTGAAGATGTTACCATGCTGGCTTTGAAGAAGGAGCCAGGGCTCGGGAGCCAAGAAAGGCAGCTCTAGGAGCTGAAACAGGCAGGAAAACAGATTCCCTGCAAGAGCTAGCAGAGTGAGCATGGTATTGCTGTAACAGGGTGCAGTCAAGAGGGGGACACAAATAGGGATTTGTAATGGGGCCCAGAATTCAAGGTGTCCAGGAAATATAGAAAAATATATATAGGATGTCCTCACCCCCCAGCAAGGCTGAGCTGGGGGATGGGACACATGGAGCAGGGCCGTCGGGAGCTGTGTTGTACAGCAACAGCTTTGCAGCTAACCTCTGGCATAGTCATTTAACATATCTGTAACTTTTACCTGGTTTCTTAGATATGTTAAATAGCTGTGGCCATGCTTTGAGCCAGGGGGATGAGAGTAACTTCCACCCAAGATGAAACTAGGAGAAGCTCCCCTTGGTTACAGCAACTGCGTGAGAGCTTAGAGAAGATTGGCTTCACACCATGAGGCCACAACTGCCCAGACTTACCATGGCAGCCCAGTAAAGCTGGAAGAATACTGGAATGCTGGCAGTTATAACTGATTATAGGAGGAGTCGGAAATGGGGCTGCAGAGAAAGATTGGCGCAGGAACTGAAACCCAGGTGCGGCAGCCATACAAAAGGAGAGAACCATACAGCTTTGGCAGAGTAGGGACCCCATGGCTTTGGGGTGCTCCCTTTTGCCATGTGGCTTAGGAAACAGGAGAGACTTTGCCTGGAAGAAAAGGGATGAAAGGCCTCCTGCTGGTGGGCCATGAGAAGGTGCCACATGGCTTTGGATTAACTGGAGATCATGGCAGCGACACAACTGATGGTGCCAGGAGCCCAAATCACAGATTTCTACTTCTTTCCCTGAGATACGGTACCAGAGACTGGGCAGAGGGAGAAGGAAGGACTGTGAACGTCTGTGGGCATCCTAAAGGACTTCAGTATTTTAATGAAGACATTGGGTCACTACTCTAAGTCTGGGTAGCTTTTAAATAAATAATTCCTTTCCTTTTCACAAATCTCTGGCATTGAGAGATGTCTTTCCTTTGGCCGCAGGTATAATGAACCTAGTGAAGGGTCCTTTCAGTAGTCGTATATGGTACGCGCCCTTGGCTCTGTACTGTAACACTGCCAACACCTTGACTGCAGCCCTTTGAAACCGATTTTGGACCTCTGACCTCCAGAACCGAGTCAGTGTAAGTGTGTTGTTTTAAGCCACTAAGTGTACAGTAATTCACTAGAGCGGCAATAGGAAACTAATGCACCTAGATTTCTATAAAATGAAACATAACACCCCTTCAAAAAAAAACCCCACAAACATAGCACTGAATACAATGAACCTGATACAGATTTTGAGGTTTCTGTAAAAGGTGTGATATCCTGAGGGCATCGGAGTGTCAGAGAGATTGGGTGAACCATCATAGCACTTAGGGAGGGGAGAGAAGTACATCTAAGCTCAGAAACATCACACCCAGGGCTCTTGGTCACTACCTGAACAGACATTTTTTCCAAAGAGGATGTACAGATGGCCAACAGTCATGTGAAAATGTGTTCAACATCACTAATCATCAGGGAAATGCAAATCAAAGCCACAATAAGATAACACCACACACCTGTCAGATTGACTATTATCAAAATAGACAAAAACTAACAACATTGGCAAGGATGTTGAGAAAAGGGAACCCTCCTGCACTGTAAATGGGATTGCAAATTGGTGTAGCCACTATAGAAAACAGTATGGAGGTTCCGTAGAAATTAAAAATACAGCTACCATATGATCCAGCAATTCCAGTCTGGGCATCTATGCAAAGAAAACAAAGACACTAATTTTAAAAGATGTATGTACCCATATGTTCATTGCAGCATTATTGAGAATTGCCAAGATATGGAATAAATCTAAGTGTCCGTAAATAGATAAATAGACAAAGACAATTATATATATATATATGTGTGTGTGTGTGTGTGTGTGTGTATACATGTACAATATCGCTCAGCCATAAAAAAGAATGATCTCTTGCCATTTGTTACATGGCAGATAACATGGATGAACCTAGAGGGTAACACCCTATTGAGAAAGGGGAGAACAAACACCATGGGATAAAAGTAAGGAACAAAGAGAATTCACGCTTTTCACCAAACTTACTGGGTGCTTGTTTGCTAGGGTCTATTCTAGGCTTTGGGGATTGAACAGCGAATTGGACAAAAATTGTCCCTGCCCTTAAGAAGGTAACATCCTGTTGGGGGTAAAGTCAATAGATAAATACACACGTTAATAAAAAAGAAAATATGCCACAGAATATTAGAAAATAAATAAAGTACCTAAAACATAATCTGGTCTAGTCCTCCAGCTTTAGACCCAGGAAATGTGCAATGGTTACCAACCCCAACCCAATCTGAACCCCAACTACGCCGTTTTAAACAGCCACAATAGCTACATGCCCAAAGTTTATCAGCCCCAAACCTTTGTGCATTTGTAGTACATTTCAGTGAGAAACTGCCAAAGTATCTTCTAAGCAGCCTCATCATTTGCATTCCTCTCTCTACCTTTTCATTCCCACTGCCAACCAGCCAGACCCAGCTACCACTACTTCCTATTAAAACAGGCCCCTGACTATACACCAGACCACCCTCCTGAAGCGAGCCTCTAAACCCATCACTCTGCTCAAAATCCTTCGCTGCTGCTTCTTTCCCCATTAAATCACATGCAAGGTGCCTCCCGATATGGCTTAACCTACTTTTCCACTCCTACCCGTAACCACGTTCCAGAGTAATCCTATGATTCACAGTTTGCTCCCTGAATAAGCCCATCTTCCTGTCTATATGTGTCGTCATCTTCCTGCTTGGGATCCAAGCATCTTTCACACCCATCTTACTCTTTCCTCCTGAGTCAGACTTTGCACTTGTGCCCCTGGAGCAGGCTGAGGTCTAAGTCTGCTTATGAGTCTAATGGCCACAACGGGTGGTCTGGGGTCAACCTGGAGAACAGCAGCCATTGTTTTGCAAAGCAAGAGCCTCCAGTGAGGTTATTGCAGAATCTTTCACACCCTCAGACATGGAAGGTGGGCCGCTTCCACTGTAAGAGAGGCTTGGAGTGGCCCAAAAGCTCAAGATTCTCAGTTTCATTGAAAGGTTGATGAGGCTGGGGGTACAGCTTATGCTATAATTCTAAAACCTGCAAAAATAAAATTTGCTCTGATTATCAGCAAGGTTATCTCTGAAGCTGTAAGAAATTAAGAGATTCCTATAGGTCCACCACATGAGTTCTCTGGCTCTCTGACTGCAAATTGTACTGGGAGTCTAAAGATCTGAGC